GAAGACAACATACGCCAAGTCTTACTTGCACTACGGAACGCCCACCTGTACTGCTCATCAAAGAAGACTTCCTTGTTCAACAGGAGCATTGATTTCTTAGGCCACCACATCTCGGCTCAAGGTATTGATGCTGACAAGTCAAAGATCGCGCGGATTCTGGACTGGCCGGTGCCAAAGAAGGCCACCGACGTACGTGCCTTCCTGGGCATAGTAAGGTACTTGGCAGATCATCTGCCAAACATGGCAGAGTACACGCGTGTCTTAATGCCCCTCACTACCAAATCGGCGGAATTGAGTTTCCCAACATGGACTTCGGATCACAGCGCAGCCTTCCAATCGATCAAGGACCTTGTCGTCAGCCCACATTGTCTAACTACTATAGACCACGATAACCCGGGAGAGAATAAGGTATTTATCACCTGTGATGCATCTGACTATGCTACAGGTGCAGTCCTCTCATGGGGACCCACGAGAGAATCGGCTAGGCCGGTCGCATTTGACTCGACACAGTTGCAGGCTGCGCAGCTCAACTACCCCGTCCACGAGAAGGAGTTGCTGGCGATCGTGCGGGCGTTGAAGAAATGGCGGATGGACCTATTAGGAATGCACGTAAATGTATTCACCAACCACAGGACCCTACAAAATTTCAACACTCAGTGGGACCTCTCATGTCGTCAAGCAAGATGGGCGGAGTACATGTCCCAATACGACATCACCATCAACTATATCAAGGGAGAGGACAATTGCGCTGCGGATGCTCTTTCCAGGCGAACGGACTTTGCAACCACCACGGCGACCTGCGCTGCAATACTTAGTATTGGCGCAGACACTGATCTTCGCACACGGATTGTCACTGGGTACGCTAATGATCCTTGGTGCAGGAAACTTAAGGACCTCCTGGGTTCCCTGCCCGGTCTCTCTCAAGATGACAATGGTTTGTTTTTCATTGCTAATCGGTTGATTGTTCCGCGTGTGGATGAATTGCGTGAACACTTATTCCACACCGCACACGATGCCGCAGGGCATTTCGGCGCCGACAAGGCTTACAGCCTCCTACGAGGATCATACTACTGGCCGAATATGCGACGAGACCTTGTCAATTCTTACATTCCCTCTTGCGCCGAATGCATGCGCAACAAGTCAAAGACAACCGCAGCGGCTGGACCGCTACATCCATTACCTGTTCCAGATGCTCGTGGTGATTCGGTCGCGATTGATTTCGTTGGTCCGCTGCCGGAAGACGCAGGATACAACATGCTCGTCACAATGACGGATAGGCTGAACGCTGACGTCAGACTAGTGCCGTGTAGAGACAGTATCTCGGCGGAGGGCCTTGCAGCCCTATTTTTCGACCATTGGTTCTGTGAAAATGGATTGCCAAAAGAGATCATATCTGACCATGATAAGCTTTTCATGTCGAAGTTCTGGTGTTGTTTACATAGGCTAACTGGTGTTAAGGTTAAAATGTCGTCGGCTTACCACCCAGAGACAGACGGCGCGAGCGAGCGGACGAACAAGACTGTGACACAATGTCTACGCTACTACGTCGACAGGAACCATAAGGGCTGGGTAAAGGGCCTTCCACGCGTACGTTTTCACATCATGAGTTGTGTGAACGCGAGTACTGGTTTCGCGCCCTTCCAGTTGCACCTGGGACGCTCGCCTCGCATGCTGCCTCCGCTGGTGTCACAAAAAACAGGTCCTGAAGACTCCAAAGAAACACGCGCCCGGGACCTACTTTCAAAGCTACACTGCGACTTACTAGAAGCACAGGACAACTTACTCGCCGCTAAAGCGGTGAAGGTACAACAATTCAGATGGTGAGTCTGAACAATATGTTGGGTCTTGCAGAACCTAGCTGCTATTCGACCCTAAAGGGTTTCTGGACTAGGCTTAAGGCTCAGAGGAGAGGAAATATCATAGAAAACTGCTGAGCACTCAGACTCATACTGGTAACTGGTGAAAAGATTGATTGATTATGTAAGCTACAAAAGTGCCAACATAAGGTAAGGTAAAAACAGTCTCTACAAGCCCAGCCAGAAATGAATCCCTACAGTGGCTCAAGCTTCATCTGTTAACAAGAAACGCTCGCCACCACTAGACCTGGAGGTCGGGGACCGTGTCATGCTCGCAACAAAGCATCGAAGGCGAGAATACATTCAAAAAGGGGACAAACGGGTCGCTAAATTCATGCCACGGTACGACGGACCGTACACTATCATTGATGCGCACCCAAAAAGCTCGACCTACACCTTGGATCTCCCTAACTCGCCCAACATCTTCCCCACATTCCACACCAGCCAGCTCCGTGCCTATCATCCGAACGACGCAACTCTATTCCCTTCCCGCAAACATCCTCGGCCTGGCCCAGTTGTTACAGAAGATGGCCAACTTGAAAACTTCATAGAGAAGATCCTGGACGAGTGGAAAGTCGGTCGTGGAAAGCGATACTTGGTCCGATGGGTGGGCTTCAGTGAAGAAGACGACGAATGGCTTGCTCGTCGGGAGCTGGAAGATTGCGAGGCTTTAGATGTCTGGGAGAAAAGGGCTTCAAAAACATAGTGGGGAAGGGTGTAAGCACGCTGGCTTACCTACGACACCGATGATGCAGTGCTATGACGCAACGCTATGACGCACACTGTACGCCTTTGATGATTGGACACCGCAGATGTCTACTACGTATATATAGATACATACGTGCGCCCAGATACATTATCTCTTACTGTACTCTCGGAATCCCATACGCTCTTCCTTTCATCGCTGTCCGAAACACCGTTAGTGTTGTCGTCCACCGCGACGACCTTCCACTTCTTAGGTCCCCACGACGAGTTGGATCTCGTCGATGTTCGAGTGGTTTCTGCTGGATTGAGAAGGTCGTAGTTAGTATCTTTCACGACACAAGTACGTAGCTCGTGGTCAATGATAATCCGATTATGTAGGAGAAACGGCCCTCCTAGAAGTATGGGAGTACAGAGGTTTGGTGCGACAACAGCACGAACAGTGCGCGAAGAAAATGCGTGATCAAGCGAGGAACAAGAAAGTTTGACATAATGCGAGAGGAGGAAAGATTCTTTTCGGTCTTGAGACAATGCGAGAGTTATGGGCAGCGGTTTTGAGAGCTGATGACGGCATAGTCCAAGTTTCGTACTAAGGCCTTCGTCAATCAGAACTAAAGAAGATCCGTGGTCAATAAGTGCAGATATACGGATAGGAGATGAAACGGCAGGTCCATCAACGAGACAGTCCCAACGTAAGTGAGGAGTCTGTAATGGAGCCACGCACTCCTCAGAGTCTGTACCGTCACCTAGTACAGCCGACAGCATCACAACTGCGACAGTGTTCTCCACTTCTACAGACGCAACTACACCAGTATTCTTCCTGGATTTCTTTGACGTGACCGTTGCCGAAGTCAGCGTCTTGTAGGTGTTAGCGTCTGGGAAGCCTTTAACGCAGTTGCTTGATGTGTGACCAGCGAATGGTTCCCGGCACTTAAAACAACCATCGTTGTCGCGAAGCAATTGTCGCTCGTTCTCGGTCAATGCTGGCAGGCGAATGAAGCTCTTCGAGCTGTTTGTGGTGGAAGCGGAGACGGTTTGACCTGCTTTGGCATTGTAGCGACTGCTGGAGGTCAGTTTCTTCTCTCCACCATTGCGAGCTCGCTCTGCACGTAATGCAGTGTCTACCGCTTCTTTCTGCCTGAGGAGGTAGCGTAAGCGTTTTTCGTCCAAGAGTCTAACCTTTTCGATCCACTTGCGGAGGTCCCTTTCGGTGACACCCTCCGCATGGTAATCTGCCGCAAGGTCCAGGTGCATGTGCGATTCCAAGTGGTATAGGATGTTGACGTCGGTAAGGTGGGATGTAGTGTCCCGTAATAACGTGTTCTGACTCTGAATGTCGACAGCCCATTCACTGAAGGGACGGTTTCCTTGGACGGACGCCAACATCTTGCGGCATACTGTATCTGCCCAATCTGTAGGTAGCCAATAGCTACGAACCGCCGTGATGTATTCCCTAAAGCTCAGGCCGTCCAGTTCCTCTTGGTTATTGAGGTACCAGTCTTGCACGATGGGGTCTTGCATCCCCCAGGCTACCTTCTTCACCTTTTCGTCGTCCTTAACCTCTTTATGTAAGAAAAACTGCATACAACCCATTTCCCAACCACGTAGAGCCTCTGGCGTGATCTGTCCTGCCGTAAGGAAGGGTGGCTTACTAGCCGACGCCTGTTCTACGCGTGCATTCTTAGTCGTAGTTGCCATAGTGCAGGTCTCGTCGTCTGAATCCGAGGACTCGGAAGGAGTGGATGTATGCGTTGTTGGAGCCGGAGTTCGTGAGGATGAATCCGACGGTAGGTCTGGAGTCGTGGTATTAACGGAAGTCAAGGTGCTATCGTTCGATGTCGAGGTCGTAGTCAACACCTTGCTACGACTGCGTGTGAGGACAGTCGTAGGAGGGACAGCACGGTAGTAGCGAGGCAGTTTGTTACTGATACGGTGGGTTGACCGAAGTTCAACCCGAACGGCTAGTGCGGTAGTGCGGAACAGAACAGTTTAACAGAAGGTGCGCACAGATATCTGATACGCTCAGCTGATTTCAAAAAAAAAGTGGAAGGTCGTCGCGGTGGACGACAACACTAACGGTGTTTCGGACAGCGATGAAAGGAAGAGCGTATGGGATTCCGAGAGTACAGTAAGAGATAATGTATCTGGGCGCACGTATGTATCTATATATACGTAGTAGACATCTGCGGTGTCCAATCATCAAAGGCGTACAGTGTGCGTCATAGCGTTGCGTCATAGCACTGCGTCATCGGTGTCGTAGGTAAGCCAGCGTGCTTACAGAGAAGAAGATATCGTCATATATCGTTATATATCATAATATATAGGAAAGGTTTTCGTCACATTGTAATATAAAGTGATATAAAGCAATATATGACCATGTAAAAGCACCATAATCAGCATAATCCCCAGCAAGAACTCACCGGTTTACTGATGCGCCATCGAGGTATGCATCAGCGGGTTAGATCGTGCTACGGAGCACTCCGTAGCACTCTGTAACCATGTGTAATGAATTACGTTTCCCTGATGTGGCGTGCCCCACTCCGCTGCCATATAAATAATGTGATCAATCCACATGCATGAAGGCAGACTGATCTTGTTATCACTGTTATTCTCAACATCATACCATATCATACAAATCACTATGGCTGAGCGTTGTGCAGCTGAAGGTTGTACCAGTTGGGCTGTTAGCGCTAGTCGGTACTGTGATCAGCGTAAGTTCACCTTCTGTTCGGAACCACTTGCAGTGATCATCTTCAAATATTGGGTCTTGATAGACAAGCCTGCTGGAGCGCCGCGTGACCCTCAGATTCGCAAGACATGGAAAGGCCTGTCTCATTTCAGCCTTATCGGCTTCGGGAAACTCGTCGGGCTAGCTCACTCCTTCTTGAGCCAATTTACTTACGAGTTGACAATACGAATATAGGTATTGAGCATGACTCCGCCAATGGCACGTGTAAGCATCTGCAGGATTGTTGCCAGTAATTTGTTCGTGCTTCTCGGGTCATTTGTAACAATGCATGAATGTTAACGCTGCATTGTGTAGTGGGTCTTGTAGTGTCAGATTCTCTCGACCTCATAGAGAAATGTTACCGTCGTCACCCAGAGACATAGTCGTGGATATCTTATAGGGGATGAGTTGTTGTACCAGAAAGGCATTGATTTGAGACATCCATGGCCCATGAATGCATGACGTATTGACAGATCATGTCCCTGCCTTCGATGGATGTCATGATGGAGACCGGCATTTATGTAAACCGCCTGTAGAACCTTCTATACATTTGTAATTTTGAGTTGGAACGGATCGTGTTGATGGAGTGCACTGCTACTAGTGCTAGTGAACAAGTGACCTCCCCATATGTGTTTGTACCATTTGACTAACGTTATTTAGTAAAGGTAGGACCCGGTGAATTCCCTCACGGCGGTACAAGCATCGGGGAAACATAATTCATTACACATGATTACAGAGTGCTACAGAGCGCTCTGTAGCATTCTGTAGCACGATCCAACCCGTTGATGAAGCTGAGTACTCAACGTTGCAACTCGCGCCTAGGATGTTGCCCTTCCCTTTCAGTGAATTCTGACTGTCTACCACAACGATATTTATCTTCCTGCTCGACTACATCCCACAACAACGGCCATTTCGTTCCCTTCTCGACTTCTACAACAACTGTTTCTCCCCCTCCTCGACTATGTAAGGAAGCCTATGGCTGTGGCCGCTGGCGCTGGACCCTCGCTCGGACTGACACTTCAACCATCGCAACATAGTACGCACTACTGGACGGTCCATCTTTTCCGTTCCTACTCCATTCTTTCACATTTCACTTCTCTCCACCTTTGTATATATCTCATTGCTACCGCTGCCTCCCTCATCTTACTCTCTTTGTACCTGCTTCAATGTTATTTTCACCACTCCTTTCATCCTTCAACAATTGAACCATTCGATGACACTCGCGCCGATGCACCCTCCACTGGTATGCCTAGTTGCTGCTCACTTCCGTATGTAAAGCCCATGTACCCTTTTATTGCTCAATGCCTACAAAACCTGAACGGCCCTACACGGAAAAGCCTATCGAAAGTTTTGCATCTCCCTCTTCAAACTCTTCGTCAACGCATTCCCCAATGAACTCAGTCACAACCTCAACGCTATCTCCCGCAACAACCAACCATTTCTCTCGCTTCTCTCAGTGAATCAGCAAGTGTGCTGAACGACTATGCAGATTGATGGCATTGCCCCCTCAAGGCTTTATACTCCCTTCGGCAATGGGCTATTGCCGATTAATCATGATCAGCGCCTCAAGAAGCCAGTCAACGTGTTGGCCATGCTTTGGTCAAGGGTATTCAGCTCATGTCTGAGGTTCTGTACCCTCACCTCACTTACAGTATCAACTACTCGTGATGAGTAGAGACCACAGGCCAGATCCTCCAGAAACCTACGAGGCACCCGTTGGTGAAAATTCGGTATGTGGTCTCAAGGCCTTACTCAACGAGGATGAGCCTTCATGCCTGCTTCTGACGCTTTCGTCGTTCAGAGCCAACCTCGTATTCGAGTCAAGCAGGGTATTCGGAAATTTGTGAAACGCGTGGCCAAGAAACTTTCTGTGAGTGGACTACTGGGTTTCCTGATTCTGAATATGGCTGACATTGTGCAGAAACCCTTCAAGTCTTCCCGCAACCGCATTCCTGCGAACCAGAACGTAGACCTTCGAGATGCTTCAACCACTGTGGTCCAGAACGTCGAAATGGAAGGGGCTTCATCAAGTCAGAAAGTTGACGTAAGTGCTCGAACTTACTATTCTAATCCTTCGGTTTTCTTAGAGGCGTTTCTAGTCATCCGACAACAACAAGCATCCCGCCACATCTGAGATTCCCAGTGACTCCGTGAACCGTGGGCTGTCCGAAGAGCCTGCTTCCCAGGTATTTTCGTCACATGCTTTGACTTTCCTCTCTAATTTTGGTGGTACCGCAGGTTCAGGCCACTCCTTCTGGCGAGGAAGAAGGTCCTGATCCCCAATTAGTTGATGCTGAACTTCAAGGTGCCTGTGATAGTACACAAAACATGGGATTACTCGGGAAATATGCGACTTCTATGGCATCGGCCGCCAATAATGACCCAGGGGGTCTTGCCGCTGCCGCAGATATTTTTGAGACGAAGTATCTTCAACCCCTGAAGATTATCGATGGTGCCCTCGAGAAGATCGGGGATGTAAGTGCTATTCTTGTCTATTGGAAGCGAACTAATCAAGTCGGATAGATACATCCATACGCAAAGATGGCGCTGGGTGTGCTGTCTGCTGCATTCAAAGTATGTGCAGTTTCTCCCGGAGTGCAATCTCCCGCTCAGACGTCATAACTCTGTAGATCATAGTCGCTCAAGCAGAGCGGGACAAATCGATCTATAGTCTTCTCGAGAAATTGGCAGAAGTTTATCGCTTCATGACTCGAGATGACAGCCTTAGCAAGATTGAATCGATGCGCGGTATCGTTGGAAAGATCGTTCAGCAGACTCATGAGTGCGCCCGTTTCATCAGGGACTACTCGGAAACAAAGAACTTTTGTGGGTCACCAAGCTATCGCGTTTCGTGCATGAATCTTATAGTACTATCATAGGGAAGAGACTCGGGAAAAACGTTCTGTCGGAAACTGACAATGTCATCAAACAGTACAGCAAGACTTTGGACGACCTTATGCAGCAATTCCGGGACCAAGTCGATCGAGATGTGGCAGTCTTCGTCCAACGTACGGGTAAGGAGTCTGACACGCTTTTGTCTTTGCATTGACTCATATGCTCAAAGGTGAAACACTTGATCTCAGCGGCATGGTTTATGCAGGGGGCGCAGGCGTAGTCACTGGGAAGCAATTATTGCGTCGTCATTGTCCATAGTATATTTTCCTTTCTACTTTATCACGTGAATTTTCATATATAATACGCTTCGGTTCGGTTCACTGAAAATCAAGATGCGCTATAAACCATTTGTACCGCACCTCCCACTCAGGAGACTCATATCACGCCAACCAATGCTTTTGACTATCCCCCCATTTCCTTCTCGCCCTGCTTAAAACACGCCCTGCCCAACCCCCCCCCCCCCCCCCCCCACTTGCTCTAACCCACCTCTGGTCATCATTCTAACCCCTTTCGTGCTGCAGCCTGATGGGTGGATCATGGGACCCAATCATGAGCTCCTTTTCTGGGTACCTCCCGCTTCCCGACACGCGTTTTATACTCCTTGGACGTCATTGGTTATACCCAGAGGTGTTGAGCTTGATTTGAGCGTCATGGCACATGGGCCGTGCTGGTCGAGTTGCCGAGACGCGTGAGTTCCTAGTCTTTACCATCCGTCCTCGGAGTCGCTAACATCAATCCCTCCAGCTCCACGTAACGATGATGTTATTGCTGCAATATCGAGTGTACCATTTGATTTTATGATTCCCTTCCTATCTTATACCTAGCACCGATCCCGAATTTATAGTTGTCCGACTGAACGATGCACCGACCAGCAGACTTGGCGAACCTGCAATGTTACTGCTGATTCGTAGCGAAAACTAATTTCATCAGAGATGCCCTTCAAGACATTATGCTGATGTGCAACAGGTGCTTCGGTATTCTTAATCTCATCACCGTCTGTCTCAATCAAAGTGCATTTGATAAAGCGGCTGCAACCTTGTACATACAGAGACATAAGAACGTGCTGATCGATTCATTCTGACTCATCTGACGGGATCATTGAACTCGAGACTCTGCTCTGTTCGTCTCTACTTATCAATTTCGCAGCGGTGCCTGAAGCCTGAAGACTAGGATCATATTTGGGATTCATATCTTGGTGTGCGTGTTCCTGTCCCTCATCATAATACTTTTTTGTCGAGTTCTTGTTTGATTTTCGACCGATCAGTCGACTGCAGATAAATTATATCGATCAAGAACGAAAAGTCATGCGAGCACTCGTCAACGATATATTATACACTGCTGGCAATATTATGCGCGTGGTAGCTATAAGCACGCTGAGATGTCTGTACAAACCACCGGCCTACTTTCGACTCCTAGAGAAAGCGGACAAAAAGCAAAAGCACTAAGATGTGCAAGTGTTCGTGTCCGCCCTACTTTGGCGCAGACCAGCGTGATTGTGTAGGTAGGCATCTGGGCTTGCTAGGCGGTGTGTTCAACGTAAGTGTGAGCTTTGCTGCTACTTATAAGTATGTTTGCACTCAGCGGCAAAAGCGAAAGCGACAGCGGAAAGGCAGCCTACTTTGAGCTCTCCTGATAATTAGCATAAGATAAGTGCTTATGTCGAAGCAAACAAATGTTTAATTTTGAGGGAATAGGTTTCCTGAGAATACGGTATGTACAAGATGGGCGCTTCAACACAGGAGATGACAGCATGGAAAGGGCTGACTGCCGCAGAGGCGTACTACCAGCAACACAGCAGCAAGCTATGACAAGAGGTGCATCATACACAAATTATACAACACAAACAGGGAACAGTGGAGCTCAACTGGGGCACATCCATGGGAGTCACGCGAATTGCTTCCGCGGAATCAGACGTTCTGTTCTCATATGCATGGAGCGACCTGTGAATTACAATCGTGTTGTATGATGTGGGACGTGGTATTGGGTATCTGCACGTCCAGTACGACGGTTCTCCATCGCCAAGCACCCCAGGCATGAAGACCACCGGCCTATATGTGGCGCGCAGCGACTACACACCTTCTTCCCGCAGCTGTCGCATGTTGCGGCGAGTGTAACAAACATTTCTACTACCCCATCACCCACCTCCGACGTTTCTTCAGCGCAGTCATAGCAGAGGGTAACATGGGCGCACGACATGCATTGGTCGATATAGGTGCATGAGGTGCAGAACCGCCTGTCACAGCGCGGACAACGAATAAAGATGCTGCCATCGTGCTCCGCACAGACACCACATGCCCACACTTCCTGGCACGCACACATGATACCACCGCTGGTGCATTCCGGGCAGATCGCATTGTGCTTTGACCAACAGAAGTTACCTGGACATCTCCGCCAGCCAGGAAGCTCGCATTGGCCACAAGAACCGTACTTGAGAGGGTGGACTTTAGCTGTTTGGAGGTAGATAGTCATTATATGCTGGAAGTGATTAGGAGAGGATGCATGAGAAACCGAAGGGATGGTAACGGGATAACCGATACACTTTCTCATATCCCTGGGACAGCACCAAGATTTGCACGCAGGACATTTCTCTAGCTCTCTCTTGGACCCCTGCTCTTCGAGGCACGGAAGGCATAAAACATTGTTTTCATGCTTAGCGCACCGTACGATTGGGGGTTCGGAAGATTCACAGCAATTGGCCGACCAACACGATACGACCTTACAGTTTTTGCAGCGACCGGTGGGGCATGAAGAGCATCCGATTCTACTGGTGTCTGTGCCACCAGCAGTCTCCTGCTGTGAAACACGCTGATTGTATTTCTAGAGTACTTGATTTGTATTATGGTAGTGGATGAATACAAAGCAACGCTTACCTCCTCTTGGATCTGTTCCCATATCCTACGGCAGTCCGGACCTGGTGTCCACTCGATAGCTGACCTTCTGATGACGAACTCGCGAATGAACCAGGAGATGTCCATCAGAACCAGGGCAAGCTCTCCAGGGAGCGAAATGCACGTGTTCTGTACCTTGTCTTTGATCTGCATGTCCGAGTCATGCAGCACAACATCAAAGCGTGTATCAGTCTGTGCGGAAAGGCGCAGATGGATGACGAGGCTTGATATTTCAGGAGGACCCTCCTTTTCTTGCGAGAGTGCGTATTCGAGGGTTGCGATGTGCTTTACTTCATCAATCGTGGAACTCGGTTCGTTTGATGGGTCTAAGATATGATAGACAGCTTTCATCACCCGGTATACGTTGATCCGCATTGGATGACCCTCCGGATCGTTCACTGGGTTTTTCGGCGAAATTATTGTCCAGGCAGGCATACAGAGTAAATATCGATGGACGAGAGTACTTTATTGGATAAGAGCAAGTGGACGTGAAGTGGAGATGAGTATGGCATGTTGAAACGAGTCTCACGGTGTATCTCTCACCAGCTTTCACCGTGCCTGAGAATTTAGAAACGTCCCCAATGCCCATCGACGTGAGGGCACGGTGAGGCAGACCTCTCAAAGAACACATGTACAACTACTAGCTTCAAGTTCCAACGCTGTATCAAATCAATTGGGGTCCCCGGACTTTGTCTAGGCTGGAGGCTCGGAGCGCTTCTTATCATTCAAACTTGAAGTCTCGATTCTCAGTACTCACCGACCCGTGGCACCACTCAACATCTGAATCGCTGCAACCTGCGAGGTGAGATATTGGATCTGGGATATCCTTGAAACAATTAATAAGCTGAATTCATCCGCAGCCCGCACATTGGCAGTTGCAAGTTTGATCAGTCAGCACTGATATATAAAGCAACCGTGATTGCGTCCGAAGATTCATCGTATATTCTAATATCCCGACCAGTCCTCGGAGACCATTTAGTCATGCACCAGCTCGACCCATGTATAAGTATCTCAGCTATATCCAACTCATCGAATCTCCCACTTGAACGACATGCCTCACGAACAGATCACCCTTTACACTGCGAAGGTACCGTATACTTGCAGCACGCTATGAACCCATCTATTGACATTGACCCATCCACATACTAGGCATGCCCCTACGCCCAGAGGGTATGTGCTTGTTAGCCTTGACAATTGTACCTGTCGTAACTCAACTAATTCAGACTGAAATTGCCCTCGCCGAGGTTGGTGCCCCGTTCAAAAGATACGAGATCGATTTGGGGAATAAGCCAGAGTGGTACGCCCCAAAGGTGAACCCTGCCAGTAAGGTATGGGCTACACTCCTGCTTGCGAAGTGATCACATCTTGAAGTAGATTCGTCCTACTAGGTGCCGGCTATCGCTTATGGTGGTCCCGATGTTTCCCCAGAAAACGCTTCTCCCGAGTCTATCAAATTGGCAGAGTCGCTGATTCTGGTCGAGTTCATCGGCGATTTGTACCCCTCATCTGGTATCGTACCTGCGGACCCTGTGCTGCGCGCCCAGGCCCGTTTCTTCATCGAGGTCGTGTCCACCAAGTTCAGTCCCAATTTCATGAAGTTTATATCCGGCAACCCGGAAGGCACCCATGCCGCTCTCTTAGCTGGCGTGGATGCAATTCAGGACCTTTTACCTGACGGGGTAAAGTACGCTGTCAACGACCAGTACACCATCGCAGACATCGCATTGGCGCCGTTCTGGGCAAGATTGAACGTGTTGGTGCAGAAGGGAATTGGTGCCTACAAAGACGAAGAAAAGAAGAAATTCTTGAAGGGTCTGGAGGACCCCAAGTATGCGAAATTTAACGCTTATATACAAAGATTGCTAGCGAGGCAGAGCTTCAAATCCACATTCCACGAGGTGCGTCTGCTACTCTCCCGGTGATTGCTGCTATCATAATGACTTGCCGATAGGACGTTGTGGCAGAGGTCTTCAGCAGCAAGTTCGGCTTAGCTAAATAAGCACATGATTATCATAATGTAACATAACGACGATTGCGTACTATCAACCATCATTTGAGTGTTTCGAACTGATTCTCTATCGAGTGACCCTATAGGCTCGAGGTGATGTCCATGTGGATCCTCCAGCCACAGTAAATAAAACCGCTCAGTATGCTTCTACTACAGGAAACATTGGTGAGTGAGACAAAATCTTGGACCCGCGTGATAGGGAACACCCAAAAATTTACCTCGCGACTAATCATCGTGCCCCAGTGCGCCACTCATTCCGTACCGGTGTGTTTCGTCCCATCTGTCGCAGAAGGTAGACCTCGAAATTGTGTGCCTTTCGGTCAGTGGGACTGCTTAGCTTACGAGGTATACATTCGAGCATTTGACCATGTCGTCTCACGACATCTCGTTGTTCTTGCTGATTATGTCCACGAGTTGGCCGCCATGTATGCTGCTGGCAACGGGAAGTCCCACAGGTGTGTAAGCGGCTTCCATGCTCTCCCACAGTTGACACTCTAGACTGACATTTATAGTCGGAGGCCTTTTGACAGAAGACAAACTACGAAGAATTTCATGGAATGCGACTGGTGTACTCTTTGCACCCTTGACACCACTCGGAGAAGGTACCGAAGGCCTTTCAGGGTGGGTTTCGTTGTAGGTAGTATTCTGCCACGATGTGTTTCAGAGAACCTCCAGCGAGGAGGAGCGAGGGGTTCATTTCATCGGTGATGCAGGTACGACTTGTCAAATGTTGATTCAATTGAGTTCTTGGCATTGTCTATCCTTTGTCTAGCCAATGGTACTAATTGCATTTGGCTAACAAGGAGATGGTCAATATGAAATATACTGTCTTTATGAGAAACAAGGGTGAAGTTACGACAGTGTCAACTGAGTGACCGTTACAGTCTGCCGTTCGAACTGCAGTTGAAGCGGCCATACTAATGACACACGCTCGAAGCTATTCATAATCGATGGGTCACCTGTCTAATGGTACCATCTACATGAAGTAGTACCATTGAATTTTCACACCTCGACACCTCAATCGACTACTGAAGCCGTTATCGCCTGTTAATTGTCTGGTTATATATCCAAGTAACATCACACTGATAATATGATAGCATGTACATCATGGATCTTGGATTGCAAGCAGTGCATGTCATTGCTACAGGTCGTATTCTACGGTATCCTATCGCACTACTCACCTGACAGTACTCAAGCGGGGGCAAGTGGTAGCATCAGGCTAGAGACTGAAATTGTTTTCTGGTAAGCAATTTACTCTCGAGTGACGACAACTGAGTTGAAACAAACTCGGACATCTACGTGCAAAATAAGCGAGGTGGCGCAGCGCGTTTTGCTTCTGCCCACCTCGCAATCGTCGTTCACTCTAAGTCCTAGCCTCTAGGTCTCTGTTTTGCATCCTATCTAGTACCTACTATGTTCCAAGAAGACCCCAACGATGCTATTGTACCCGACTACGCTTCAGAAGAACACCACTGAGATTAAATTGGCCCGAACGCCGCGGCAGATACCGCAGCAGTGGCGCTCGCTGATAAAGCAACTAATCATGATTGCGTCAGACTCGTCACATATTCCTCATGTATAGATATCCCGATCAGTCCTCGAGATCATTCAGTTAGTCATGCACCATCTCAACCCATGTATAAGCATCTCAGCTAGTGTTTCCAACTCATCGAATCTCCCACTTCGACGACATGCCTCACGAACAGATCACCCTTTACACCGCGAAGGTACTGTATACTTGCATCACGCTATGAATCCATCTACTGACATTAACCCATGCACATACTAGATATGCCCCTACGCTCAGAGGGTACGTGCTTGTCAGCCTTGACAATTGTACCTGTCATAACTCAACCAATCTAGACTGAAATTGCCCTCGCTGAGGTTGGTGCCCCGTTCAAAAGATACGAGATCGATCTGGGGAATAAGCCAGAGTGGTACGCCCCAAAGGTGAACCCTGCCAGCAAGGTATGCGCTACACTATTGCTTGCGAAGTGATCACATCTTGAAGTAGATTCGTCGTACTAGGTGCCAGCTATCGCTTATGGTGGTCCCGATGTTCCCCCAGAAAATCCTTCTCCCGAGTCTACCAAATTGGCAGAGTCGCTGATCCTTGTCGAGTTCATCGGCGATTTGTACCCCTCCTCCGGTATCGTACCTGCGAACCCCGTGCAGCGCGCCCAGGCCCGTTTCTTCATCGAGGTCGTGTCCACCAAGTTCGGTCCCAATTTCATGAAGTTTGCATCCGGTAACCCGGAAGGCACCCATACTGTTCTCTTGGCCGGCGTGGATGCCATTCAGGACCTTCTACCTGACGGGGTAAAATATGCTGTCAACGACCAGTACACCATTGCAGACATCGCATTGGCCCCGTTTTGGGCAAGATTGACCGTGATGGTGCAGAAGGGAATTGGTGCCTACAAAGATGAGGAAAGGAAGAGCTTCTTGAAAGCTCTGGAGGACCCTAAGTATGCGAAATTTAATGGTTATGTGCAAAGATTGCTAGCAAGGCAGAGCTTCAAGTCCACATTCCACGAGGTGCGTCCGCTACTCTGCCGATGATTGCTGCTATCATAATGAATTGCCGATAGGACGTTGTGGCAGAGATTTTCACGAAGAGGTTCGGCTTGGCTAAATAAGCACATAAGTGGATATTGTCATATGTAACATACAACGTTTGCGCACCATTAACCATCATTTGAGCGTTTCAGACTGATTTCTATCGAGTGGCCGATAGGCTCGAGATCCCGCGGCATTGATTCGCTTTCACACGTGTGCACTCTACTCGAGCTCTTTTCACGCTTTACTTGAGGTCCGTGTTCTGAGACTTTTGCACGCGCGGCGCCGCGGTTCCAGGGGCGTACATATGGCGTTACCTTGCTCTTTCCGCGGTATTATTAGCATTCAGAATGCGACTCTTTCACCACCATGATGCGTAATACAACGAAACATGTCTGTCGAAAACGAATTAATACGAAATGCCCCAGTCCGCATCACCGCTCTGCACCAAAGATTCGAAGCGCATCTTCTCCTTCAATCCCGCGCGTTCTAGCCGTAAATCGCACACGCTGTGACCTGCTCATGCGACGACATCCGGATCTTAGGGACTGAAGTACTGACACTCCAGACTTGACCTACGCAGTGTGCAAACATCTATTCTATCAAAGAACGCTGAAAGATGCAGTAATCACAAAGAGATATCTGCATCGCCTACGGCAGATTGCCCAGAAAGCCTCGCCCGCTTCACGTCCTCGTGAGAGGGTATCGGTGAAGATGCTCGTTTCAAAGCTTCTGTGGGAGACTTGAGCGGCCTGAAGTACGGTTGAGAGAGCCAATGTGGCAGGACTCTGAGCCCTGTCGTAGGCTCGATCGTGATCAAATCGTCGACCAGTTGTCCCTCCTTCATCGCCTCCGCAGCATCCCTCTCCATACGCTGCTTCATCTCTTTCGCAACCTCAATATATTCCTCAACGACATTCGACCCTCTTATCCGTCCTAATCTCTCCCTCAGGTCGGTCTCCCTGCTCAGAGCGGGATGCATGATTTTAAACAAATGGCCTTTGACCGCGCTCGTCGATGTTGGGGTCTTGAGGTTCTTGACGATAGCCAAGTACTCAAGCGCGAGGTCCGCATGGGGCGGGTGTGCACCTGTCAGAGTTGATGATGGATTCCCAGATGGTGCAGGAGCAAATAAGGCAGGGTTATATAACTGCCCCTCAGCGCTCATTACCCCATCCACGCCGGTCTCTCTCAGACACTTCTCTACATCTTCGTGAAATAAAATATTACCATTTGCGAACACAGGCACCCGTACTGCCTCTTTCACGGCTTTGATGTGTGACCAATCTGCGAGCCCAGTATTTTGTCCGCGTTGTGTGCGCAAGCGACCATGGCAAGTGAGGATCTGGGCCCCTGCGGATTCCAGCATTTTGGCGTAAGCCACTGTGTTTTCTACGGAGGGAAATATTCGGAACTTGGCGGTAACGGGTACGGAAAGGTTTTCATGAAGTACGTTGACTGTTCCGACGGATACGTCATTAGCCTTGAAAATTAGAATTCTAATATCAAACAATGATAAAAACACACTCAAGTCATGAATCAACTCCCATTCGTCCATCAAGAAGCTCCCGTAGTGCCCCTTCCTTGCGATATCCTGAGGACACCCAAGATTGATATCAATGGCATCACAGTGATCTTGTACAGCAAGTGCGCTCGTGAGGAGCTGTGAGGGATTATTGGCACAGAATTGAACAATGAGCGGGCGGTCGTGTGTACTTGAGCCTTCTTCGAGACAGGAGGTATTGAACGCCTGAGCACGATATGCGTGTGCAGAAGCGGGAGAAAACATCTTGGCGTTTATCATGGGTGTGTAACAAAGCTGAGCAGATGCAATAAGTGAATGACAAGGATAAAAAGTGATGCCGATCGGAGACGTACCTGGGCACCATATCGGCGTGATAAAATTCTCCAGGCCTGAGTCAAGTAAACATAGAGTAATGGATAATACACATGAGTTCTACTCACCAGCTCACTTTGATCTACCATCGGCGCAACGATGAGCTTTGGGCTACCGAGGATCTGGTGGTAAAAGTCGTACCCAGCGAGTTTCCTGGGATGATCGGAGGTGGTCTGAACTGCCATTGTGACAATCTTCCGGAAAGTGCGCTCGCGCAGAGCGCGCTCGAGTAGGGTGATGAAGGAAGTTATTGGGAAACCGGCGCACTACTTTGAAGCTAGTTAGTAGTAGTGGGCAACAATGTTTACACGTGACTTATACAATATATGCTTATGTGAGCGTAGATGGCCAAATATAGAATTCAATTCCTAGTACTAAACGTCTATTCGTATGGCCCTGACAGTCGCGCTCACAGTTGTGCTCAATTTTGACGCTTCTTCTTCTTGATCACGAGATCCTCTGTAGGACCTCGAATACTTGTTTGTGTACCACTCCGCTGGCGCTTGATTCGATAATACCTGCCAAGTAATACATGTTGGATATTTGGACGTAACATGCGGCAAGTCTCGCTATTACTCTAGTGACACTTTGTAGTTTTGATCGATGCACCGTCGGAAGTTGGCGTAACTTTCTGTCGATTGAGAAGTGACTTAAAATAGGTTTATTGCCTAGCGTCGAGAGTGATTAGTAGTGTAGCAGAAACGTGACGGAATGAAAAGGTGTGTCAGAGCAAGCGTGTCAGAGACTGAGAGACTGGAAAGACAACACGAACCGTCGTCGTCATGAACGAGAACAAAGGGACATCATACATTCAACAAAAGTGAGAACAAGAACACAAAAAAAACTCAGAGCAGCACACACGAAAATCGAAACCCGGCCCCCCATCAAGTCCTCGGAAACGTGTCAACAGGAATCGGCTTCCTCGACCTCCCAGACAGCTCCCACTATACGACCACCCCAAAGACATCGACAAGCGCGAGTCCTGGCGGGGGATGTATTTGGGCGTGGGTACACTAGGTGGGGAGGTGTCGTGGGATCACCATTCGTACTAGAAGCATTTTGTACAGACTCTGCACGCGCGTTCGGGTCTGGGTGTTGGTCCACGTTTGTGAAGTTGGTGATGCACAAGAACAAGAGGGTGTAGACATGATCGCAAGTGGAAGAGGCGCCACCGATCCTGATCCTAATTCCAACTTCAACTTCTATTTCGACACAGACACGCTACGCAACGAATTCAGAATCGTGCATGGAGGACCAGCAGCGAGTCAGAATACCGTGGGATAGCTCCATCGACTGCGAAATTGGTGGGTTTCAGGTCTTGGCGTGAGAGGGAGAAAGGTGGGATCGCGGCGCTTTCTTCAGATGAGCTTGAGGATGAAAAGGAGGAGTGGGAGCTGCTTAAAAACTAGTCAAGAGATGACCGGGGGGCGTCAGAGTCGGTGCTTGCGCGGAGGAGTCACATCTCGTTTTGGGAACTGTAGATAGGATCGGGTGGACATCTCGGGCTGATGCGAAGGAAGGTTGGGGGTGGATCAATCATTGGCTGCGGAACAGTAGGGAGGCAAGTATGTAGTAGTGTACCAGCTTTTCCACATGTATCAATATCCCTTGGCGTTATATGAAGATGGTTGCACACACCGAGCCGCTGGAAATGCGTGTTTAGATTAGTGCATGGAAACGATGACTGTGCTAATGCAAATGGAGTTTGGATGTTTGGATGGGGTTGGAGGTGGATATTCTGGGATCGAGATGTCTTCGTTTCAATCATGATGCATGATGTACAGGAGTACGAGATTTCGAGACCGGCGGAGGAAGCTTCAAACACTGGATCCATACCAAATTGCCAGAAGATACTCTGCTGGCATTGTAGACATTATGTGGTCGAATATAGGGTTATTGAGGGGATTCTAGTGTATCAATGGTGGACGAGTTCTTCCTCAAATGTTATTCAGCATATAAAAGTGAGGTTCCTTCGTACTAACCATTAAGGTTTATTTCATCTCATATCACATCCTCACACACGATGCGTTTCTCCTTTGCAATTGTCCTTGCCATCACTGCTACTTTAGCATCATCAATCTCTGCGACGCCCATTGAAGATAGTGCCCAGAAATGTCCCCTCTTTTGCTGGATTAACGTAAATTGCGAGCACTGCACTTGGGGGCTTTGCGTAAGTATCAGTGATTTCCCTGGTTTGATAATGTGACTCACTTGCATGACAGAAGTTTCCTTTCTGTACAGTGGGTCGTGTTTCTGCCTTCACATCGGCGCAGTATGACTAACGTGCAAGTTACTAGTAATTTGTAGATTTGATGCATCGTCAGGTGGAGTGGTCGTGATGTTTTGTGAGATTGGTAGATAAGACATGCGAGGACAATATTATTTCCGTACAGATCAGTCCACGATGCAGCGTCTGTGACTGTTGCTCCTGCTGAAACGTCATAATGGACATGAGTCTGTAGATCATATAATTATAAGTATCTGTGCCTGATAAAACACACCTAGATCCCTTGTGAAACCCCCTACTTCGACTTCTGATTCTAACTTTCTAACTGTTTCCGAAAACGTTCGACAAGATCTAGATAAGCACAATGTGAACGGAAACACTGTTTCATATCATGATCGCCTATGGTATGCGTCTGTAGAGTATACATTCATAATGGCGGTTGTGCTTGTTCAGGCATGTCACATAGTGATGGCCGCGATTCATAGGCAGAGACTGGGAGCTGTAGAACGGGTGGGACGGTCATTGAAGGCGGGGCAGGGAGAAAAAGGAGTAGGAAAGCTTTTGGTGAACGACTCCGTCCGCATGGCTTTGGTGCCTAGGGTGCTACCTCGTGCGAGAGGATGATAGAGTCCGGGCGGGCAGGTGTTGATGCAGGAAACATAGGCGAGTATATTAGGGAACCGAGTTGGGAGTCCGAGGGGTGGCCACTGGCTTGGCAAAGTCATCGTCGTCTGTTGCACCTGAGGCAGCAGGCATTTCGGAGTTACTGACATCTATGCAAGATGTATCGACGGTGAATGTCTTGGTTGAGTGAATGTCATTTTCTGAGCACTCTCAGAGGATTATTTGGAGGGTTGAATGCGAGAAGCATGACAATTATGTAATTTGCTCGCTGATACTCATACACGCACTTACTACACGAAGAGAGATGTGCGCTACAGACCAACAGCAAACAAACGCGTAGCAACATAGCATCATGTGGTGGAAGTCATAGCCACCGAGCCGCCTGCTGTTATTAAGGGATCAAGTGCCAGCATGCCATAGCTCATAGACGGATCATCGCTAACGCAGACAGGTATATAATCCTCCATCGACATCCCTCGTCGTTCCACCTTAGTCTATTATACTCAGACTGAGTCCCTCATTTGTCTCTCACAGCCCCTCGCAGCTTCGTCCGTATCTACTCGCATCATTACAAACCATGCAAATACCAACCTGTCCCACTGGAATATCTCAAATGAACATTTGGAAGTGCGAAAACGAGCGCCATCAATGCGGGAAGATGATGGAGCACAATGCCGCCATCCCCAGGTGCAGAGCGTACTTGAGAGACTACAAGAACGTGACAGAGCGAAAGACATCATTCTTGACATGGCATCAGATTATCAAAAACGCTGAGTATGGCACAAACCTATGGTGAAGCTAACCAAAGTTGAAGACAATCCTAGGAGCAACGTCAAGGTCGCTACGACCTATGCGCGGCCCCAGAACTGCATCCGGGACGGAAAGCTGGTCGACTCTGCATCTTCTGCTGAACCTTATATCGCAATCAGTTATGCGTGGGACATCCGTCCTTCTTTCAAAGAATGGGAAGGCAGGCGGGTCACAGAGCAAGCATTACACATCGCCGACCGACTCTCGAAACACACCTCATATGCTCTGTGGATCGATGCAATCTGCATTGACCAGGACAATGAACCAGTAAAGATGGTTGAGCTTGCGAAGATGGCGGATATATACCGCGGGGCCACAGCAGTGTTATGCCTTGTACCGGAGATAGACCAAACGACAAGAAGAGTCGTGGAGCATGGAACCGGAATGATAGATTTAGATGGGTTCCGTGCACTTGAACAAGCTGGAGACACGCATGGGATGTACATGTTCGCTTCCCAAGGCTCAAACAAGGCGTTGTACAAGCTATTCAGCAGCAGGTGGTGGACGCGTGTCTGGACGTTTCAAGAGGCCGTTCTTAACCACATAACGTTTTTGGTGGGAGAGAAAGAGGAAACTCTTCCCATTTCCGACGTCCTCAAAATCTCTCACCCGATCAGTCGACGGGCAGCGACACAGAAGAAAGACAACTTGCTGGGGCAATCATCTAGTTTTTGGGACTCGGTTCATTCCATGTCGGACGCGATGAAGGCATACATGCCGCTCGGGACAGCTATATCGAGCGTATGGAGGCGTCAATCTACCGTCACTCACGACATGGCGTACTCTCTGCTTGGCGTGTGTCGTCTAGAGACAATCACGCCTGACTATCGGCTTTCAGTGGAGAAAGTGTTCGCTGACCTTGTGGACAAAGCCAGCTCGAAAGGGGACTTTTCCTGGCTTAGATGGAGCCACGTAGTCGACAGAGACGCCGCATGTGAAGGAATGTCCATGGTGCCCGTACCTGCAACTGTGTTAGCAACCCCTGCCAGTGCTATCACGGAGTGGCGTTCCGTAGAAGTTCCTCAGATGTCAGTTGTCCGTGGAGGAGCCGCTGGTGTTTGCATTCCGCATCGGTCGACTGGCGTTATAAGATGGCAATCAGAACCGGAAGACATCAAGGGAGTTATCAACATGCTCCAAAAGCTGTCTTACGGCCCCGAAGACATATGGAACTTATTATTTGGCCTACACGTCGGATTTGCGTGCGACGTCGATAAAGCCGTGGGAGGATCTGGGTTAGCTCAGGCGTTGCTCAACCTGGCGACTGGATACATCGACGGCACGATCAGATTGGAGGACTCAGAGGATGATTTGGTTGGAAACAAGCCATATACGAGAGGATACGGGTTCACGGCTTATGCATCCATGGCAGCAAAGGTTTGGAAAAATACACAGTTGGTTGTGATGCGCTCCCAGGGTGGAACAACAGTGGTACCCACCCACAGCGGAACAGGACAGGCGCGACTGCATAGATTGCCAGTTGCAAGTCATAGAGGGACGTGCCTGTGCCTTGTTGTGCATGATGACACGAAATTTCGGGCTAGCGCAATCGGAGTCATGGTAGAGGATGATCACGCAGGGAGTGGATCGTGGCAATTTACCCGGTTTTCTTGAAGATACCAGCTTCTTTCTTACCGACTTATGCTTGGTGATATCATGATGGATGGTTTGAAGGACTTTCTGTACTACTCTTTTGCTTTTGCTTTTGATTTTCGACTCATCTACGACTGGGCTGGTGATCTTGTGATATACGTACATACTCTATGTACGTAGTCCGCGTACACCACATAAGTCATGATCAGGTGCGCTCCAGTGCCATTTGTGCGTCTTCTTGTTGCTCACTATACATGTGAGATCTTCGCCGCCCACATATTCCACCATATTCTCAATCCTGGACCAACTTTCCAGCAGCCAGCACGCGTTGTCATGCAGATCGTGCAACCTGCTTTGGGACATGACCATGACGTCTGGTAGCCCCGACCCCGAGAGTGAGACCGTAGCGGACATAACCCAGATCATGGCTGTTCCAACTGGGAACATCGTGCGTGATATTAACTGTCGCAAGGATTCTCTCCATTTCGCCGAACTCCACCCAGATGACTGTTCCGACGATAAAACTTCCTCGCCAGTCCTTTCGGTTTTCGAGAGGCTGGTTGTGTCTGACGTTGAGGGTCTAGTCGCCCGAGTTTCCTACGATCTGATAGATGTTCCCTATGCCAGGACCGATTGTGCCCAATGACCGATGGCTGTAGGTGAAGCACCGACTGCTTTCTTGATCGATCGAGCCGTCATACAATACTCTATTCCTATTCCAACACAAATGATCTTAGCCTCACTGGGCAAAGCCCTGCTAGGCCAAAATTTCACGCCCCTCTGCTCAAGCGCTCATCGTTGGCCCTGTTCGCGTGTTCCACACTTGCACATAAGTATTCTAAGTCTGTGGGATTATGATTAGTTAACGAGATATTTATAATGACATTGTTATGTCTCACCATCTACTTGATACTTGAATCAAGGAACCAGCCTGTGGACGCTGCAACTCGGAAAGTGGCCACTTAGCCACCAGCAAGACATCGCCTCGGCTTGTGGGCCAATTTCTTAGCGCAAAAGCAAATCACAGTTGGTTTGTGCACCTGCCCTCCCTTTGAGTCCTTGAGCAGTTTTGAGTTAGTTGTGAGCCTGAACTTCGAGAACACTACCGGCGTGACAAGGTAGAACATACTGTTGATCAGGATGCTTTAGATATACGTTTAATCACTTTGTATACTTATCGCTGGTTATTTTGTATGCATGGGGCCCTGTGATGTTGGTTATTTGTGCCTCGTTGAACGTTCGACCTCATAATATTGCGACGTTTGAGAATTGAACTGAACAGAAAGATTTTTCGCAGGTCAGAAGAAACAAGATAACTTCGAGTGTATTGTTGGTGCATCATCGAGATCTTGCATAGATTTAAGTAAAGTTATTAAAGCTGGAAAGGGTAGTAGGGAATATGTACGCAGGTAGCACCAAGCTTATATGAATGGACTCTGGAGTGCTGAGAACGTTCAATTGAAGCGCTGGCAGTTGATGAGGCGCTTTCTGGTCGACACAGCCACATGATCACGTAATCAACTGCTTACTCAACACAAACTGGAAATTTAGTCTGCTCGTCTTCAGCGTCAACGACGACGACAGTCGATTGTTGTTCGTGATTTTCTCAACCTTTTCCATCCCCACCAAATTTGACCAATGTCTGTGAGGCCAGGAGGCAAGCCAGATCTTTCTGGCTACAACTATGGTGCTATTTCATCCCTTGTCTTGACCGCTGACAGGTCCGCTCTGCCCAGGAGAGACAGAGAGCCCGATGGCGCACCTACTTCCCTCGCAGGGCGAATTGACCCTCGCGAGATGGGTTCACGCGTTCAACGTCAAGTGCCCAAAGATGTTGAGAAGAAGAAGAAAAAAGCAGGAGAATCGGGCAAGCAGGAAGCTCCAGAAAAGGTCGTGAAACGACGTGCAGAAGCTGGTTTCGGGTACACAGACATTATCGACGCGACACAAGATGTTGAAGGACTTTCATACCGCCCCCGTACTGCCGAAACACGTGAGGTATATGAAGTCATGCTATCCACGGTGCACCAGGTGCTGGGCGACCAAGCACAGGACATTGTTCGCAGTGCAACCGACGCCGTCCTTGAAACACTCAAGAATGAGTCTATGAAGGACTTTGACAAGAAGAAAGAGGTTCAGGAGGTACTGGGTCCCATCTCCAGCGACGTGTTTTCTCAGCTCGTAGCCCGAGCGCAAAAAATCACCGACTATGGCGCTGAAGATGAGACGATGGCAGATCCGGATATGGAGCGCAAGGATGCAGAAATTGATGATGAAGTTGGAGTTGCAGTCGTATTCGACGACGAAGAACAGGAGGATGAAGACGAAGAAGGCTACGAAATTCGGGACGGTTCAGACGAGGAAGGTGACGAAGAGGAGGACGAAGTAGATGAAACCTCACAAGTGGCTGAGGAAGCAGGTGACGAGGAACTTGTCATCGGCGGTTCGTCAGCTCGTGGAACTGGAAAGGCCAAAACAGATAAAGACATTGTCTCGCCGCACGCGATCGATGGCTTCTGGGTGCAACGTCAGATATCTGAAGTTTACCCGGATCCAGTCACTGCAGCGGATAAAGCAGCGTCTGTCCTCTCTATTCTCGGCTCGGAATCAGGCCTGCGCGATTGTGAGAACCAGTTGATGGAGCTGTTCGAGTTCCAGAGCTTCCACGTGATCACCAAGTTCCTCAAAAATCGGGATGTGGTAGTATGGTGTACGAAACTCATGCGGAGCGACGCAGACGAGCGGATCAATGTCGAGGTTGCTATGCGAGAGAAGGGTGTTGGTTGGATCTCGCGGGAGCTTGCTGGAGACCGCCAGGCCAAGAAGACGCAGGATGATGCCATGGATGTGGACGAGACGAAGCTAACGGTACCAAAAACAGCAACTCTTGCGCCAGGCTCTACAGTGCAACCAAAGCGCACGGTCGATCTAGAGAGCATGGCATTCAGCCAGGGGGGACATCTGATGTCCAACAAAAAGTGCAAGCTTCCTGAGGGCTCATTCAAGCGGGCACGCAAGGGATACGAGGAGATTCATGTCCCTGCACCCCAGAAAAAGCAAGGTGGCGAGGAAGAGCTTGTACCTGTTACTGCACTGCCAGAGTGGGCAAGAAAGGCATTCACTGTGCCCAAGCTCAATCGAGTTCAGAGCAAGCTTTACCCAATTGCCTTCGGGACGGATGAGCCCCTCTTACTCTGTGCGCCTACCGGCGCTGGTAAGGTGAGCGGTGTTGTGTTATACTTTTCATCTTTCAGGCACTAAGTTGACCTTGCAGACCAACGTCGCCATGCTTACTATCCTTAATGAGTTGTCCAAATATCGCGACGAGGTTACAGGCGAATTTGCCCTCGACGATTTCAAAATTGTTTATATCGCGCCCATGAAGGCTCTTGTTCAAGAAATGGTTGGAAACTTTAACGCGCGGCTGAACGTTTTCGGAATCAAGGTTGGCGAGCTCACAGGAGACTCTCAAATGACGAAACAGCAGATCTCGGAGACCCAGATCATTGTTACCACACCCGAGAAGTGGGATGTCATCACGCGCAAGAGCACCGATACGAGCTATACAAACCTCGTTCGGCTCGTGATTATTGATGAAATTCACCTGTTGCACGATGAGCGTGGACCCGTGCTAGAGAGCGTTGTGGCACGTACGATACGGAGGATGGAGCAAACGGGAGAGTACGTTCGCCTGGTCGGTCTCTCAGCTACACTTCCAAACTACCAAGATGTTGCGACATTCCTCCGCGTGGACGAATCGAAAGGCCTATTCTATTTTGATGCCTCGTACCGTCCATGTGCGCTTCAGCAACAATTCATTGGTGTCACAGAGAAGAAGGCTATCAAGCGTTTCCAGGTCATGAATGAGGTTTGCTACGAGAAGGTGCTTGACCAAGCGGGAAAAAATCAGACCCTTGTATTCGTGCACTCTCGCAAGGAGACCGCCAAGACCGCCAAGTTCATCCGCGACATGGCCATGGAGAAAGAGACGATAACGCAGTTCGTCCGTCCTGACTCAGCGACGCGTGAGATCCTCACGGAGGAAGCAGGCAATGTCAAAGATAGCAATCTGCGCGACCTCTTGCCGTTTGGGTTCGCTATTCACCACGCCGGTATGACTAGAGAAGACAGGAATCTTGTCGAGGAGCTTTTCGCAGATGGTGCAGTCCAGGTTCTTGTCTGCACGGCAACGCTCGCATGGGGTGTGAACCTCCCGGCACACACCGTCATCATCAAGGGCACGCAGATCTATAACCCGGAGAAAGGCCGCTGGGTTGAGCTCTCTTCCCAGGATGTGTTGCAGATGCTTGGTCGTGCTGGTCGTCCGCAATATGACACGTATGGCGAGGGCATCATCATCACGAACCACGCCGAGCTGCAGTACTACCTCAGCTTGCTGAACCAGCAACTGCCGATCGAGTCTCAGTTCGTGTCGAAGCTGGCGGATAACTTGAACGCAGAGATTGTTCTTGGAACAGTTCGCAACCGTGATGAGGCCGTCCAGTGGTTGGGGTACACTTATCTGTAAGCTCACTTGTTCTCAAAGCGGTAAAAGTGCTGACATTTCTCTCAGTTATGTCCGCATGCTGAAGTCCCCAGGACTGTATGGTGTTGGGGTGGATTACCAGGAAGACGACAATGGTCTTATCCAGAAGCGTGCTGATATTGCCCATTCTGCCGCCGTTCTGCTGGAGAAATGTCATCTCATCAAGTACGAACGTGCATCTGGTCGTTTCCAGAGCACCGAGCTTGGTCGTATTGCGTCTCACTACTATGTTACATACAATTCGATGGCTACGTACAACCAGCATCTTAGGCCAACCATGTCGACACTGGAACTTTTCCGGGTGTTTGCGCTCTCAAACGAGTTCAAACTTCTGCCGGTATGTCACATATTTCCTGTTTGTAATATGAGTCTCGACATTTATATTCATTTTTGTAGGTGCGTCAAGAGGAGAAGCTTGAACTTGGTAAACTGTTAGAACGTGTGCCCATTCCTGTGAAGGAAGGCGTCGATGAACCTGCAGCGAAGATCAACGTCCTCCTACAAGCATATATATCGCAACTCAAACTTGACGGTTGGTAACAATTCAGCCGTCTACCATATTGTGCTGATTGGATGATTAGGCTTTGCTCTCGTGGCCGATATGGTCTTTGTTCAGCAATCTGCTGGCCGGTATGTGTTGTTTTAAGTCAGTTTACCCAACTCACACATGTTACAGTATTCTTCGTGCTATGTTTGAGATTTGCCTGAAGCGAGGGTGGGCAGTGCCAGCGCGTGCATGTCTTGACCTATGTAAGATGGTCGAGCGACGAATGTTGGTAGTTTCTAATAAGGTCGTTGATCATCAACTGATTATTTGGTTTTCAGGTGGGGCTCCATGACACCGCTTCGCCAATTCAAGGGTGTTCCACAGGAGGTCATCCGAAAAGCAGAGGGCAAACAATTCGTAAGTTTGCATCAGTTCAAGTAAGGGACGTGCTAAGATAATTTTCATTAGCCATGGTATCGCTACTTTGATCTCGACCCTCCTGAAATTGGTGAGCTTATCGGCATTCCAAACGCCGGAAGGCTCGTGCATCGATTGGTGCACAGCTTCCCCAAGTTGCAGCTGCAAGCGCAAGTGCAGCCTATCACCCGTTCTCTTCTTCGTATCGACTTGTCTATTGTTCCTGACTTCCGATGGGATGAGAAGACCCACGGAACAGCTGAAACGTTCCTCATCATGGTTGAAGACGTCGATGGAGAGATTGTTCTTTTTCACGACTCATTCGTTTTACGCCAGCGCTATGCAGAGGATGAACATAACGTCACCATCACGGTTCCGATGTTTGAACCCGTCCCCCCGAACTACTACATATCTGTTGTATCCGACCGATGGTTACATGCCGAGACCAGACTACCGATCTCCTTCAAACACTTGATTCTCCCAGAAAAGTTCCCACCTCCCACTCCTCTTCTCGAACTCCAGCCACTCCCGCTGTCTGCCCTACACAACAAGGAATTCGAGAGCATCTACTCATCCACCATTCAAACATTCAACAAGATCCAGACGCAGGTTTTCCAGGCTCTCTACACATCTGATGAGAATGTCTTTATTGGCGCGCCTACTGGAAGCGGCAAGACTATCTGTGCTGAATTTGCTCTGCTCCGCCTTTGGAGCAAACGCGAGCAGCCCAGGGCGGTCTGTATCGAGCCCTACCAGGAGATGGTTGATCAACGTGTTGCAGAGTGGCGTCGGAAGTTCAGCGGCCTGCAGGGCGGCAAAGAGATAGTAAGCCTTACAGGAGACACCAGCGCTGACCTTCGACTTCTTGAGAAGGGGGATGTTGTTGTTTGCACCCCATCGCAGGTTAGTTTCTTCAATCATGTCGTGAATCTTCCACTCAACCGATATTTCTAGTGGGATATCCTGTCTCGGAGATGGCGACAGCGCAAGAATGTGCAGAACATCGGCCTATTGATTGCTGATGAAATCCAGCTTGTAGGTGGGGAAGTCGGTCCGACGTACGAAGTGGTGATATCTAGGACCCGCTACGTCGCTGCGCAGACGGAGGTTAAGACTCGTATCGTCGCCTGTGGTGTCTCGCTCGCTAATGCTAGAGATCTCGGTGAATGGATGGGCGCGCCATCGCATGCAATTTTCAATTTCTCGCCTAGGTACATCTTGCACCTTGTAATCAATATTCAACCTACTAAATGATGTTTTGTAGCTCGAGGCCGCTGGATATGGATATACATCTCCAAAGCTTTACTATCCCTCATTTCCCTTCACTGATGATCGCCATGTCTAAGCCTGCCTATCTCTCTATCGTTGAGCATTCACCCACCAAACCTGTCATCATATTTGTTCCATCAAGACGCCAGTGCCGGCTGACGGTTGACGACTTGTTGATCCATTGCGGAGCAGATAGCGACCCCGATCGCTTCTTGAATATCGAAGAAGCTGACTTGCAGCCTCACCTCGACCACATCAGCGACAAAGGTCTTGTTGAATGCCTGAAACATGGGATTGGGTATTATCACGAGGCGCTCGATAAGCAAGACAAGCGCATTGTCGAACGCTTATTCCAGTCTGGAGCAGTCCAGGTTTTGGTGGCATCTAAGGTGTGTAACCCACGATCCTACCATTGACCAGCAACTGAGCGTCTGCAGGACACTGCATGGAGTCTACCTGTTGCAAGCTATATGGTGATCATAATGGGCGTGCAATACTACGAGGGCAAAGAACATCGATATGTCGACTACCCAGTCATGGACGTCCTACAAATGATAGGTCGTGCCTGCAGGCCAATGGAAGATGATCGCAGCCGATGTGTCCTCATGTGCCAGCAGACGCGCAAGGACTTTTACAAGAAGTTCCTTGCAGAGGGTCTGCCCATCGAGTCCCACCTGCCTACCCATCTATTGCACGACTATTTCCTTGCCGAGATCGCTGTCAAGACGATTGAAAACAAGCAAGATGCGATGGATATCCTGACATGGACATACTTCTACCGCCGAATGACTCAAAACCCCAACTACTACAATCTTCACAATGTCAGCCATCAGCATTTGTCAGATCACCTGTCGGAACTCGTGGAGAACACCTTGCAAGACTTGGTTAACTCAAAGTGCATTTCGATAGAAGATGAAATGGATGTTTCAGCACTGAACCTCGGGATGATAGCGGCGTACTATAACATCTCATACGTCACTGTAGAGGTGTACACCCTGTCGCTGAAGGAGCGGACGAAACTCAAAGGTCTCCTGGAAGTTGTTGCCTCTTCTGCAGAGTTCGAGTCAATTCCCATCAGGCGTCACGAAGACACCATACTCCGCCGCATCTACGACCGTGTTCCCGTCAAGCTCGATCGTGCAGACTTCGAGGCACCTCACTTCAAGACCTTCCTTCTACTTCAGGCTCATTTCTCTCGTATCCAGCTGCCACCAGACTTGGCGGCGGACCAAGTTTTAGTTCTGGAGAAGGTTTTGAACCTACTATCAGCATGTGTGGATGTCATGTCTTCGAACGCATGGCTGAATGCACTGGGAGCAATGGATTTGTCACAGATGTGTGTACAGGCGATGTGGGAGACTGATTCGCCCCTCAAGCAAATTCCCCACTTTGAGCCCGAGGTATGTCCATTCCTCTCGGTACTCTTCGTTACTGATTAAATTTTAAAACAGACCATCAAACGTTGCAAGGATGCCGGCATTGTGTCTGTTTACGATGTCATGGAGATGGAAGATGATAAACGCACCGAACTTTTGCAAATGGATGGTCGTCAAATGTGAGTTCTATTGTATGTATCCATTTTAACCGTTTCTAACAGTATGTCTAGGCGTGATGTAGCGACATTTGTCAACTCTTACCCGACCCTTGACGTGTCCTTCAAGCTCGAGAAGGGAGAATATACTGCTGGTGCACCCATCACCATGCAGGTTTCTCTTGCCCGCGATGCAGATGATGAGGATTCCGATGACCAAACTGTTGTCGCACCTTTCTACCCGACGAAAAAGATAGCAAACTGGTGGCTCGTAGTTGGGGAGCCGAGCACAAAACAACTGCTATCAATCAAGCGCGTCACTGTCACCAAAAATCTCTCGGTGAAATTGGAGTTCACGCTACCGAAAGGCGAGCACGCCTTAAAACTCTATGTCATCTGCGATGCGTACGTTGGCGCAGATCATGATCTAAGTTTGGAACCTATTGATGTTGCGGAGGGCGAGGACAGCGACAGCGATGATGAGAGTGGAGATGAGATGGAGGAGTAGTTGGTGTGCTCATGTAAGATTTCGATGTATCTCTACTGTCTTTGTCGTACAGCTTTCCTTGCCGATTGTTAATTGTAAGATTTGTCTATTAATATTCGTCTGGATATACTGCAAACTGAGTAAGCTATATCGTACGAAGCTAATTCTATTCTATTTTAGCAGGTATATGTTCACTGCGCGCGCGCATAAAACGTCTTGAAGAATGTGGCCACACCCTCCTAAATGCAGTGTAGTAATAAGTCATTTTGACCTACTAACAGGGCAGCGGAATACACACCTGATCAAAGGTTTGCTTGAAACTTGCACGCTGCAATACTCGGTCGGCGTATTTCGTGAATTTAGCAAACTTGGGTCCCTTTAGCTCCTCACCCAGCTTGATCCCCATGCCGGCAGGGAATCGGCCTATTTCCATCAATCAGCGTCAATTTCTTCGAAAAGTATACAAATGCGGGCACTTTACCTGCGTCGGTCTCGGTGATGATCCTGAGCCTTGCGATGTGTGGCGAGATGGAGGCATCTGCAATGGTGTAATGAACTCCAACTGCGAAATCTGCGTCCTCCTCAAGAAGTCCTTGGATGGCTTCAATGCCCTTCAAGACATTCTCATATGACCCCACCCCTCCGAGGAAGGCGTAAAGCGGCTCCTCGATGGATTTACTATTCGCATCGAGGAACGAACGGACTTTGGAGCGTGAAACAGGATCCTTTGGCAGGAGGCCAGAGTTTGGATAGAGATCCGCCAAGAACTCGAGGATGACATTCGATTCTGTGATTTTGCTGGAAGCGGGTGAAGGTTCGTCGGGGTTAACGCTGGGTCCTCCATATGCTACAGTGGGCACCTATGTGATATTACATCAATCTTCCATAATAGACGCATGATATCATCACGCATACCTTGCCAACGGGGTTCACTTTGCTAACAAACCACTCTGGCTTATTGAATACATCGATTTTGTAGCCTGTGTAGGGTGCGTTGGCCTCGATGAGAGCTAATTCGGCCTGTTAAATCGTGTCAGAGACTCATGAAAAAATGTCAGCAGTCATTTCACCTTTTGGCTATAGGGCGAGAGCTAAAGAGTTATGGGTCAGACAAGTCTTTCTCTTCAAATTGTATCGTTGCTCACCGGGTGGAGGTATAGAGTGAGCTGTTCAGACATTGTGGTGATGATGATTGAATAGAATTTTGGGTGATTTCAGGCGAAGGGGTGCTCATATTTATGTGTGAGACGGTAGGACTCTGTGACATCTGTTGTCGCATCGCTTCAGTCAGTTGCTGACTGAAATCTGCGTCAATATTATGAAGTTCATCAACAGTCTTGCTTACCATCCATGTGAATAAGCCTTACGAATGTACTTGAAAGGTACCCACGAGAATCCTCGAGAAGCCGACTTGAGTTCGGGGGCCGGGAGGCTTGAACGTTGTTAACTCCTGGCCCATCTGGAATGGTGGTACTTGATCGATTCTGGTCTTCAGCCTCAGAGTCATAGTAGATTCTAAGCTCATACGACAGAGAAGAAACAACAGTACCCTCTGTCGGAAACATTTCATTAGCTGAGCTGATTCAGCTGTTAACAGGTACCGGGTACTCATAATCCCGACTCCGCTTTTGGGACAGCCATTATTCAGCGTTCAAGTGGCCCACAAGGTATCTAATGCTTGGCGCTGCGAGCCTGTAATAAAGTCGGACCCTGTACCGTGCTGTGAGCTCCTCTTTCACGGGAAATCGTCCTCTTGCTCTTTCCACGGTATTATTAGAATTTCTGAATGCATCTACGCCCTTCGGATCTTTGAGAGTCAAACTGGACCAAGTCTCAACAAAAAGATCGCACAAACTGGATTGTGGAATTCGTTGTTGGTTGCACCCATGCCGACTGTCTCAACTAGTCAAATTCTCAGTTTCAATGGTGCTTTGGGCCCTACATCCGGTACGTTCGACTTCCTTGTCACACTGTACAAGCTGACGTGTTCGATCAATAGTATCTACACTCGCCGTGTCCTCGCTGGTGAATTCCAGATTGTATGCTCGTGGTTACTCAGGAACCTCGTCGACTGTGGGCTCTGCAATGACGACATGAAGAACATGATCATTGCTCACAATGGCTCCGTCACCAACATCTCCAGCATACCAAATGATACCAAAACCATTTACAAAACTATCTGGGAGATCTCGCAGAGGAAGTCATCGACCTTACTGCCGACCGTGGAGCATTCAGTCAGAGCTTAAACATTCACTTGCAGTCGCCTACCGTATGCCAGTTGACGAGTATGGCTAGAAGTGAGATCGGCATGTACTATTTGGGCACTTGTCCTGCGGCGCAAGCCGTTCAGTTCACTATTGACCAGAACCTGCTCAAAGTAGCTAAGGCGCTAACAGGGGAAATCTGACAAGGCTGCTACTAGCATTCCTACTCCTCCCCTCTTCACCGAGTCTCTCTGCCATCTAATTTCAATGACAACGGTGTTACTCCAAGTTCGTCGGGCCCCAGTGGAGCTAACAAGGTTGACCCTGAGTACGCCGCTGCCCTTGGGTTTCAAAGGGAGAGCAAGCTCGAAGAGGCCAAAATGATGTGCTCGCTAGAGAACAAGGAGGCCTGCCTCACGTGCTCTGGTCAACGGAGGTGGTATGTTGATATCATGCATTTCTTGTTGTTTGTTACCGAGTGCCCACGTTTTTTGTGTACCAGCCATTGTGTTTGTAATGAAATAAATGTATTTCGGTCTGTCAGCGATCGTCAGGATATGTAGGGCATGACAATGAGGATACATACTACGTGAATACTAGGGTAATGTCCTGCGCACATGGTATATAACACAAACACCAGCGGCCTTGGACAACATAATCTTTGCGACTGCGCTTGTACTTACTATTATTTATCGTATGTTGGAAGGAATCAGTGCACGCTCACATCCATGGCTGGTTTGGAGGACAAGCACTGGGAAGTTCCACAAAGACAATTGGTCAAGAATTCACATGTTAAAAAATCGACACTACATATGTAGATGCTTCACTCTGTCACGGTGACAACTTCTTTCATGACCACAGTAATTTGACGTGGAAAGCTAAGGGTGTAAATAAGGTGGTTAGCAAAATGTACTTCATAAACTCGGTCATCTGGGGAAATAAAGTATAGGTGGTTGGAAGAAGGGAACAACTGGGTATGAGGTGAAATAGGCGCCGAGGATCCATCATTCCTTCTTTGGAGTAATTTTAGATCACTATTGGTGGCGCGAGATCCGTCGCTGTGTAGAAATTCCAGGGTGTGGACGCGGTGTCCACGCAATTCCATGATTCTCCCAGTTATGTCAGAGGAGATGGTGAACTTTACGGTGGAATCGTCATCTGGTAAGGGGTTCTGTGGGCTAGTGAGCATTCGGTAATATCTAAGTTTCTATATAACTTACCGTTATGTCTGTGTAACGATGAGGACCCCAAGAACGGTCTATACGGTGAACACGATATCTGGGATGTTCATACCGGGACCGCCTAGTCATGGTTATAAACAGTAACCTGAAAGGTGATTACTATGTGTAATTTTGGAGGTTTGACTCACAAAGAAAGAAGACGGGACGATGCAACAACTTGAACATCCAGCAGGACCTTGTTGTTGATCAATGTTTGTCCTGCTAGGACCACCCTATGAGTTTCAATTGCATCGCGTAATAGTTTAAAACAGTGATGAGCTATTGACCTGGTGTCAAATCAGTGGGCACTCGTCTCAGACAACTATAATTACATCTAGTTTTTTGATCATGAGGACACAATCCAAGGCGCTACCATCAACCCCGTTCAGGACCTTCCACACTCGTCGATCTTACTTCTCGTTATGATCCACCCCACTACTCTGATAGGCCATTGCGCCCTCTGAAAGGGAGGCGTGCTTCACCGGGATGTCAGCATTTCATGGGGTACTGCTTATGCGGTCAATTCATAAGCGTTTTCGACGATTTGGATTCTGTACTGTGCCGTAAGTTAGGCTCTTTCACAGGAAATTGTCCTGACTCCTCTTGCTCTTTCCACAGCATTATTGGAATTCTGAATGCATCTATGCTGATAGGAAGCAGTTCTGGAAAATTGTCGTATTTGTGCCTCACAAGGTCTCTCTCTCCAACGCGCTGTGCTCGACCTTCGCGCACAGACGCATTATGCACATAGTCAACTTCTCTACCGAGTGCGGAAACGTCACGACATTCGGACGGTGTGGTCAGCGAGGAATAAGGCAAAAGGTACAGCAAATATCATTTTCTCTTCGCTATGAATATGAACAATACTTCCCCCTCTGCAGGCAAGCGAATTAGGTATTAGAATTCATTGGCTGATTCAGCTGGATTCAGTCGAATTCATGGCATCCATGAATGACTTCCAAGCACCACGCCCGCTACTCTCATATACTCAGGACAAGTTTGATATACTTGTTGCGAGTCTGTGATGACTCGTCCAGCATCTACAACTTCGGTCGGTGGCGAGGGGATATATCAACATAGTGATCAGCTCAGAGTGCTATCCCCTTCAAGTTCCTGCTCCCAATCTTCGGGAATGTCTCCGAGTCTCGTCCTATAAAACGTTTAGAGAATAACAATACTAGTAGCGTTCTTGAAGGGTACTTGTAAGCTGACAGGTTGCCTTTTGTTCACGTAATACTTTACTCATGCATCGTCATAGCCCATGAATGCATGACATACTATGTACTAATAAACGTACAGCTTTGTAAACTCCCGATTAAATGCCATAGGACTCAGTCAGCGCAACTGGTCCGTATGATTACAGCACGCTTTGGAAATCAGGACCTGGCAAAAGATATATAAACTGATGACATTTAGAATTGCAAAATCCGAAATTCAGTAACACAACACATTGCAGCATGTCTGAAGCGCTTTTCAAGTCCTTTGCTATCGTCGGCGCAGGCCCTCACATCGGGATTCCTATCGTGAAGGCAAGCATTCATTATAGTATTATCTTTGAGTGTCGTCCTTAGCGATGATCTCTGTCAGGCATTCCTGGCCATTGGCACTCCCATTCTCGTCATCGCCCGGCCGACCTCCAAAAACACCTCTGCACTCCCTGACAATGACCCCAACCTGAAGGTTGTGCGCGCAGATTATACATCTGCATCCGAGGTTTCGGCAATCCTTCGTGAAAACAAAGTGGACGTCCTCATTTCTACCGTTACATTTTTTTTCGGAGGCGTAGTTGTACAGGACGTTCTTGCGGACGCTGCAAAGGAGGCGGGCGTGAAGCTCTTTGTACCCAGCGAGTTCGGCGTATCACCGCCAGCAGCCGGTCTGGCTCATGAGAAGCATGCCTTTGCAGGTGAATGATTACAGCCAATGGTAGCACTTTAAGATGTAGACTCATCCTCCGTTCACAGTCTATGCGAAGTCGATTGGATTGCCCACTCTCCGTGTCTATGTAAGTTTTTCTTTGTTGATATTGCTCCAAGCATGACGCACTGAACACGATCCATTAGAATGGGTTATTTCATGACTTTGTTCCCTGGGTCACTGCACTCACTGAAACTGGCAAGTTTCATATCGCGAGCAAAGGAGACATGCCGGGATCCTTCACTGCGATATCCGATGTTGCAGGATATGTGGCTCATATTCTTACTACTCAACCGCGATCTCGTTTACTTGATGTTGAAGTTCGCATCGAAGGACAACGTGCAACGCTCTCTGAGATCAGTGCCCTATACAAAGGCAGTGTGCCTGTGGTATACTGTGATGCCCTTCCTATAGAAGGTGTACTTGCTGCGGACGTCCGTACGAGCTACCAGCAGGGCTTTGACGTCGGAGCAGCAAGTTGCGGTTGGGATCCCGATAGAAAGATGGATGACGCGGAATTGGCGAGCAAGGACAATTCACTGTGGGAGGGACATCGCTGGTTGACTATTGGGGAAGTTCTTGGGTTGTAATGACATGTATGTGCGCAATACCTTGCAAAACTAAGTACACTTCGAGATTTACAGTAGGGGCTTTTCAATCATGTTATTAGGATCTTTTCTGGAGCACGAAGATGTCAGATGTTTTTGTATTATGCGGAAATGAAAGCAACGTTTGTTCGAATTCCTCGTCGATCACAATAATCGTATCGCTCGTTATCGCCCCGGCTGTGTATTTGGGTTTGCGTAGCAAATTTTCCAGGCCCCAAAATATATCGTCAGAACGAATCAGAAATCATACCGCTATAGAGGGTAGTCAGAGCCGGCTGCCGGAGCCGGAGTGTAGATGTTACGGGCAGCAGGCTCAGCCACAGTGGAGGGCCACCGACGGATGACGAAGGCGTCTTGCAGCGTACAGTAGTTCATGAACATCATCGTATAATATAGCATGTTCATTGCTGCTTTTCAGGCTACCGGTCTATTAGTCTAACACATACGTATTAACTGATATAATGTACTTGTTGTTCATATGACAAGAATATCTACATCTTGGCATACAGAAATGGAGCCTGACATCACCTTCGCAATGGCGATATCTAGGCAATCGCAGACTGTATGCTGATACTAGTAGTAAAGACTGAGAGGCAGTAGTCGTCGTCCTGGGCAGGGACAGACAAAATGCCAGAGTCCACAGATTTGTGCAGGTTAAGTATCAGCCGAGAAATGAGAGTAACGGACATGCTGGGGGGTATAGTCAAACCCCGATTAACGTTCATCGCACCAACCACTCACCAGCTAGTGAATGTAGCCAGACCCACATTGCCCCTAATAGCTGCCTGGCCAACCGTTAAGAAATACTCAACTTTCACACAAGATGCTCACTGATCCATACTGAGTCAAGTCCAAGTTGTGAGCGCTTTGTAACTCCACTAGTAGGATGTCGACTCACGTAGAACATCACAATGTTCGGTATATTACAGAGTGTCATGGCTCTGAAGGAATGTATCAATAGATCCACTCGAATCACGGGTTCATTAACGCCCTCACCCAAAATACATCACACCTATGTTCAGTTTATTCAGTGTTCACAATACGAAAGTAACAAACCATTTACCATCATGAAACATGACATCAAGGATATTTCTCCTGGTGACCAGACGTAACCGCGACAAACCTCTAGATTTACATATCCTATAAACTGTGAGGACAAAGATGAGTGCTTCGAAGGCCAGTATGGCTAGCCATGCTAGCCCCGAACCTGCAGATGTATCGAGTCATGACCTCAAGTTGCGTGACTTGGAATTCACTAACGGGCAGATCTGCAAAGACTTTTGAGCAGACTCGCAGAATGGAAGATCGTGACGTACATCTCTACTGTGTATGTTGTGAAACAGCCAACTCCTGGCGAAATCATCAAATTCCCTTCATACTGTCCAAAGGTTGTCGCCTAGAAACGATCAGTAGACTCCAAATGGAAGAGTCCAAAATTAGATCGAACACGTACAGATGCGCCTCCCGCAAGAACAATGAGGATGAATGTAACCCAAATAATCAGGCGTTTGTTACGATTGTAGAGAGCATAAGTGCGGATGATTAATATGACTGAAATTTTTCAGTCTATGAATTCTACTGGTAAAAGAAGTTGAACTTGCCGCAAATGACGAATTGTTGCAGAAAAATAAACAGCTGTCTGGACATCGTGTATTTCGGACAGCTAAGTGTTTGTTAAACGAAAGAACAAATATCCAAGAGTTAGGAGACCAAACCTCTGCAGAACTAAGTTGTGAGCCTGCCACATATATAATGAGATGATCGAACCTGATCTGGAATGAGCGTGAAATCGACATATAAGCCATAGATATTGCCAACCAGCGCGAGATAGCGGCTGATAAGAAATGACATTGCAGACAGGGCTTTCGGACGACGCCAAATGAAAGTGATTTCGTCTGTGAGGGTTGCCATATGGTCGTACACCATGATACCTAGAACATCGTGTTATCATTCTGAGGACAAAGATAGGAAAACTCCAGTACTGTTTGCCACAAGGATGACGTACAAGTGCCTCACCCTGGTAAATTGGAAATGTAATGTGTTAAGTCAGGATCAGGATACGTACGTGTACCACTTACAGTTGCTGTTTTTCGGTGGCATCCATGCTATGCAACAAAGAAGGGGCGTGGATGATGTCTGGGGCAGTATCCAGAATTATATACCACGTTAATGTATGCAAACTCCGGAGGGGACAAACACGTGCAGTTAGCTCGAAAGGTCGTAGACACAGGAATAGATCTTCCTCGGTCACATCAATGATCAGTGAGTCACAAGCGCATAGCTAGATGATTCATTGATTAGGCTATTTATTGCTGAAACGCAAGGAATCAAGTTCGGGCCGTTCCAGAATCATTATCGCTGGCACGGCGCTGGCAATGCCTGGCATGCGGCATGATGACATGTCAATCTGCGAGAACAAAGTTATGGACATTAACGTTCCACGCTGAACTTCGAAACTTCAGTACGCGTCTTGCGTCCTTACCTGCCGCGGAATTACGGATAAGGTGGTTGGTGAATATAACATCCGAGATGTTTGTTACAGGTCGGTTTCAGCCCATTCTTCCATTTCAGGCAGCGGCGGCTCTAGTTCTTGAATTTGCATCGATACCATTCACAAGTTCGTCATAAGGTCCCTTTCGTAGCAGATAACGCAGTAAATATGGGGTCGCTCCAAACCAGGCTCAAATTTAGAAACACGTACTCAAGGAAGACAACATCGATGGATCTTCTGGTTCCTCGTGCGAGCTGGTTTGTTCCTTCGGCGATAAGCCTCAGGCTGTTATTGGTGCACGTATCATACCGATATTGCCATCGTGATGATCTTAGCGCACCCGTTTACGCTCGAAGTCTCTCGTACACAAAGTGTGGTGGCACGGCAAAACTGCGACGCTGACAGTATTATATTTGGAGGACAGTATTGTGCAGGTAGATATGGGTCCATGGATACTGCCCATGGATGGCGATAAATATATGCCATCCATCGTAGTAAGTGATGATTGGCTGCCTCTGAAAATAAAAGCGGTGCACACGGTGATGATCGGATGCATCGAGATGGCTTTCATAGATTATGGATCATGCGGAAACGGCGATGCATTTCATTTCTGATGTATCCAATTCCGATTGCGACTGATCAACCAAACTCTTCAACTGAGCAAAAAGTTTGATTTTAGCAGGGAGCTGTACAAAGTATCAAAAATCGAGTAAATTTTATGAAATGACGTTGTAATCCTGACCTGATATTGTGTTACAAGGCCTGACGTACTAGGAACCACGAATAATAACGTTTCGCTTATGTTCGAGGAGGTATCGCTGACAGGATCTGCGATAGTCGGATAGCATAGCTTGAATGGTTGTAATCCAACGTTCTTCTCTGACGCCCGGGATGCTTTTGACGCGCCTGACGATCCAGAGGCCTTGGATGGTCCGGTCGTCATCTGCAAAAGCGCCTTTTGGAGTATCTCCCAGTTGGATATACCGACGAGACAGAGAAATCTAGGGCGGTGGAGTGCGAGCTTGCCGAGTAGGATAGGTACAGACGAGACACGCTCTGAACAGGACAGTTCTGATGCCTGAGATTAACACGTTAGCACGCAGTTGAAAAACGAGTACCGTGCCAACCTCCGAGGATGGTCTGTCAACTAGATCTGTCTACGATTGATATACGTCAGTTTAGGTAGTAAACATAGTGAATATTTTGAGCTGACTAAACCAATGTTGAATGTTTTTGGTAAGGAAGAATCCTCCGAGGGTGGCAGTAGCCTAGGTGTAAACCCTAAGAAGTCTATAGTCAAGAGCTTCTCCTGGTCATCGATGGAGACGACATACCAGATTGGTGAAGACACTTCCAGAAATGATTCGACGGGTGGGCAAAGTGGTGTCCTCTCTTGGCGGACATATAACCTGGACTAAGAATGATATGGATGTTACAATGGTCCTATCAGAAGTAAGCATAATGCAAAAGATACTCGACCTACTTAATTCCGCAGAAAACGACTACACAGAACACCTTAGGCAAAATTTGGAATGATGGGTTTATTACACACCGTCGAGCCCGTAGGCTAGATAATCTGTGAGGGGTGATAAATGGGCATACGCTTCCGGTGGAGCATATCCGCGCTTGAGCTTTTTGGCGGTATTCTTGGACAGACTTGCGTTGGGTGCCTTTCGCTTACCCTTTCCAGGTGATGTTGAACTCAAGGCATCGACGTGGCACTTGACTTCTGGCTTTCGAGATTTCACGGCCGCAGCAACTCTGAAGGAACGTCGTAGCTCGGACCTATGGACCGTAGCGACTGCGGAATCGAGCTGTGGTTGGCATGGGGTTGAGATTAATGTGAATTTGGAAATGGATTCCCTGAATTTCTCTGTAACAGACGCGTCTCCGTCATTGCGGTCTTCCTCGAAAGACATCTGGAGCAATCCCTGAAGGAGGAGCTAGGAGGAGCCTTAAGTGGCGAGTTGCTCGTGAGAAATTTATAGCGGAGAACTATTCGATCGCTGCGCGAACAGTCGTCCAACATTTTGGTTGTGTACTAGCTAGTTCTCTTTGCAGACGTAAAGCAGAATTAACGGACTGCGGACCTGTTCGGCAGCACTGTATGCAAGAACACTCCCATGGGCATCTAAACGCCCAGCGTCGCGCATGGCCGTCGCCCACGCCAAATTCAGAAATGCACTCAGCAGTTTTGGAGTCTGGAGCCCCAGCTACTTGATCGCACAGCCGAGGTATCTCGAAAGAATACTTCACCTGTCTCTATGTGTACGGATGCGTCACTTTCACAGTAAGTTCCAGAGACAACATCTCAACGTCGCGACCATTATCCATCATAATTCATACCTTTGGTCATAGGTTCGTGCACCCTCAGGATTTGACAGGCCGCTAGGCAAAGAATCTAGCCCTGCCAATGCCGTGCTGCTGGATAACGGCAAGATGTCGATATAGCTTTTTTTAAGTGTGGAGAGTCGATGGAATCCTGTGCAAGATGGTCTTCGGAAGTCGCATAATGCTGCGCCCCTGCATTGAGCGGTCCGAGGTCCTCATACATACGATGTCTTATACCGGCGCTGCGGGCATCGACAATTCAAGATTGAGGTCTATGAAGGGTAGATTGTCGTTTCCAAAAGCAAACTCCACCTGACCTGCTACAAAGGAAGTTATTCGATCCGATGTACATGATTCAAATCAAGTAGTTCTTATCCCATGTCCCGGTTCATAGTCGGCGATAACATAGAAGTCGCTGAGAGAGTTGCATCATGAGGTCGGCACGAGGCAACGTGTTCGCCCTAGGTTCCATGCCGATGCTAATGTATGATTATGTATATTTGAAACGGAGCCTTTGTATCGAACCATGCGACTAAAGTCGAACAAACAAAAGGCACTCCTTCAAGGTTTCACGCTTTATTGTTTAGTTATCAGTTTCTCTCTTTTACTTGAACTTCAATCATGCCACCCAAAGTAGCTCCTGGTCAGCCTCGTGGAGGCGGTGTGGGGGGCGGCGGCGGCAGAGGTGGTCGTGGCGGTGGTCGCGGCGGCCCTCGCGGTGGACCACCTCCTCGCGGCGGCCCAGCTGGGGGAAGAGCAGTTCATACTCCCACTGGTCCCGCCGCTCTGCCTGGAAGCCATGTTCAGGCCGTGGGGGTAAAACGACCTGGATATGGAACGGCAGGCAGAGCAGTGACCGTATACTCCAACTTCTTCAAGATTAGTCTCCCGGAAAGCGTTATCCATCACTACGACGGTTGGTATTGGCTCTTTTCAAATCTCGTCCCTTTGTCTGATTTCATTCATTTTTCTTTTTTTACGACACAGTGGGTAAGTGCTGAAGTTCATGATTCTCTGTGTGACTTGCTGTTGATAATCGCGTCAATCTATGTGATCAGTGATCTCGCCTGATGAGAAGGTACTTCCAGCACGCTTAAACATGGACTTGATCCATCACCTTCAAACTATCGATGCCGTCGATGTCTTTACTCCCCGGGCCGTTTACGATGGGCGAAAGAACCTCTTCGCCCCCAGGGAACTGCCTTTCGGTCCGCAGAACAGCCAAGAGGTGTGCTTATCTGATATGCTACTATGCTCATCACTTACATCTATGTAGTTTGATGTATGCCTCTCTGATGACCCCAATCGCGGAAGCCCTGGGGAGAACACGGGGGGCCGCGGTCCTAAGGTGTACAAGATCAGACTGACGAAAGTTGCACAAATCAACCCTGAGTAGGTTATTTTATCTTTCTAAACGTCACGTTACTGAATTTGTCTTCGTTAGAGTCCTACAACGCTTTATTCTTGGACAGCAGTCACATGATAACAGTGTTTTGACCGCCTTGACGGTAGGTGTTTTTGTAAGGGACGCTTGAATTGATGGTTGACGTCGCAACAGGCATTGAACGTTGTCGTCCGTATGGAACCGACAATGAAGTATCCCTTTAATGTTCGGTCTTTCTTCACCGACCGGGAGACTAAGGATATCGGTTCCGGCCTTGTCTTATGGCGTGGATATTTTCAATCAGTGAGGCCCGCAATCGGACAACTACTCGTCAACGTTGATATTTCGACTGGAACGATGTATAAGTCTGGAGCACTGATGGATGTCTGTCTCGAGTTCTTAGGTAGACCTGGGCAACACGCGTTACTCAGCCCGCGAAGCGGTTTGCCCGATCGTGAGCGAATCCGTTTGCAACGTTTTATTTCAGGCATCCGAGTTAAAACAACATACGCCGGCGAAAACAAAACTCCTCGCGTTGTCAAGAAATTGAGCAGTGCAGGCGCTGCAGATTTAAGTTTCACCTTGCGGGATGGAACTAGTAGGACCGTGGCTCAGTATTTCCAAACGATCCTAAACCGTCCTCTGAGGTTCCCGAACAATCTTTGCATTGAGGTAAGTCTGTTCGCAGGGGGTCTTGAAACATCTTATCGGGATTTGTAGGTTGGCAGTGGTGCCTTGATCCCTGTGGAACTATGCACGATTCCACCAGGTCAAATCATGCGGAAGCAGGTTCCACCTGAGAAAACAAAGGACGTTCTGGAATTCGCTACAAAGCGACCTGAAGCCCGCCTTGCTAGTATCACAAACGGTCTTTCGGTATGACCTTCGTCATTTACAGCGCGCTATACTCAGCAGTCTTGTTAGGTCCTTCAATACGGCCAGTCGGAATACGTGCGCCAGTTCGGCATGCACGTCGAAGATACTACCGGACCACTGACCGTAATGGCCCGTGTCTTGCAACCGCCGAAATTGAAGTACGGCCCAGGTAGTGCGCAGCCGACCATTGTCAGTATTATAGTTTGTTTGCATTGCTGCGTACTGATATTTTCCTGTTCTTTAGACACCAAGTAACGGCGCGTGGAATATGTAAGTGTTGTTATACGATATCTCTTCGTTGCTCATAGGTTTCCAGGATCGATAAGCGATTCTTCAGACCTGCAGCTATTGACAGGTGGATCGTGGTAGTTTACGAGAGGCAGCAGCGGTTTAACCCACAGGCTGCACAAGACATGATCGATGGCATGCTGAGGAGTTTCAAAGACGTTGGTCAGTGGCTCATATGACTATATCAGGTCAAATTTTTGACACATTCGAACAGGTATCCGTATCACCGACGATAAGCCGATGGTAACCTGGCAAAACGGTCAAGGCCGGATTGCGGACGTAAGTTGTGTTCTGCGAAGACTGTTTGAATCTGACTCGAACGCCTACTTCAGCAACTGCGTGCCGCTGGCACTGAGTGTTTCCAAAGGACGAAACAGCGCCCACAACTCATAGTTGTAGTGCTTCCCGAGAACGGCAATGACATTTACACTGCGGTTAAACAGTAAGTTCCTTGGCATTGTGTTGTATCAATGACTCATGGTCTTCTGTATAGTTTTGGGGACATTACAGTAAGGCTGCTCGATGGACCCGTTATATGACCTCTGAAAATATGACTTTAGGTCGGTGTTGCGACCCAATGCCTGAAGAGTCAGAAGTGCTTCCGTGCAAAACCACAATATTACGCAAACGTCTGCCTTAAGTACGTAATTGTTAATCGAACACTAAATTTCGCTTTAATGTTTTACTCCTTACAGGGTCAACGTTAAGCTGGGTGGTATCAACACTATTCCAGATCCCCAGTCGGTCTCAGTTCTCACTGACCCCCGCAACCCTACTATCGTCATGGGTAAGCCCCATTGTTACTTTTTTCTATATTGAAGTGAAACAGTCCACCAGGTGCCGACGTGATTCATCCTGCGCCTGGCTCTGATGGCCGTCCTTCATTCACGGCACTGGTCGGCAATGTTGATTCTGATACCGCCAAATACATCGCTACAAGCCGTGTTCAGGCCTCTCGGGTTGAGATCATCGAAGATCTCCAGGACATGGCAAAGGTGAGCATTTTTTCCGTATAATTTGCTTGTACTAATTGTGCACTCTTAGCACGTCCTGAGTATGTACATGAAGTATCGCCAGTTCGCGGAGAAGAAGACAGGGAATCTTGCCCCTACGCGTCTCATCTTTTACAGAGGTTCGTTGCAGAAGCCATTCATACCCTTTCCATATGCTGAGCATACAACGTAGATGGTGTTTCTGAAGGTCAATTCAAGCAAGTTCTCGATTCTGAACTAAAGGCGATCAAAGGCAAGTTCGTGTTACTTTTGGGACTGTCGAAATCTGACAACCTATGCAGACGCTTGCGCGGAGTTGAAGATCAACCCAAAGATTACAATCATCGTGGTTGCGAAACGTCACCACGTTCGCTTCTTCCCAAGCGGCTCAGGATCGAATGAACAGGATAAGAGCGGCAACTGCCTTGCAGGCACTGTTGTCGACCAGGTCGTCGCCCACCCCACGGAGTTCGACTGGTATCTGCAGAGCCATGGCGGTCTGCTTGGTACGAGTCGCCCCGCGCACTACAACGTGCTCTACGATGAGAACGAATTTAGGTGACCTCACCTCCATGCTCCTATGTAGTAGATTGTATGCTGACAATGGCTATGCATCTAGCGCCGATGGTCTGCAATCTCTGTCTTTCGCTTTGTGCCATGTATATGCACGGTCAACTCGGTCTGTTTCGATACCCGCTCCTGTATACTGTAAGTCCATGTCCAAGGCGCTCGCCGGCAACGACGTGACTGAACTATTCATCAGATGCAGATATTGTCTGCTCGCGCGCCAAGAATCACTACGACCCTCAAGGGAATGTAGATTTCTCTGATTCTGCGACTCAACTTGACACAGCTCAGGCTGAGGGCGCCTTGGAGGCGTACAAACGTGGATTCAAGCCCTTACATGCCAACATGGCAAGTTTGATGTACTTCTCTTGAACACTGTTGCTTTACCTACTTATGTAATCGCCTCGAAGCAAATGACGGAGTCTTTTCTTTTCTTTTCCGCTGCCGTGTATCATCCAATTTCTCTCACTAGTACTGTCTCATGATGACCTCGCACCTCTCTGTAAAAAATACGTACGCACGAATACCATTGGGACCCGCATTGGGACCTGTATTGTTTGACGTATTATGTTCGGACTGATGACTGTAACGCTGCGATATTCGTCGCACACAAGCGCTGGGCAAGAGCGCTTAAGTGAAGCTAGTGTTTTTACAATACAGGGTGGTAGCGAGACGATGAGACACGACGACCTGAAGCCCTTATACGATACCATTAATACGCGCAACGAGAAGAAATGGTTAGTGGTTAGATCGAAATGATCGGCGAAATCAAAGAGAGAATTAGAAAGAAATGTATCCATAATGTACTTTGATGACGTAGACCGTAGAATTTAGTGAAGACGCAACCCAGTAAAGCTTTGGACTCAATTTCTGCACGTCAAGTCTTACTACCAGCGTCCGTCATGTCGTATACACGAGTCACCCCCAAAAGCATAGGAAAGAAGTTGATCATCCGCCCCGTGAGGCCATGGTTTTTCCCTATAGCCAAACCGACGTCAGAGTCCTCCGCAGCTTGCTCTTTGTGCGTATGGTCACAAGGTTAGGTGTCGTAACCTTGCGCCAACCAGCATATGGGTTACGAGGGTCTGGGCGAAGTAACACACAAAGATGCTCCTGCTCCGGCTGAAGAATGCCATCTCCACTAGTATCGTAGCACCAGTAGTCCACGACCCCTGCAGAATAGTTGGAGTACGCGTCGGTTTCGACGTCATCAGTGTCAATCTTCTCGTAAACGGCCACCTCTTGTTGTGACAAGTCAACAAGGAACACTTGAATTTGTAACCCGCGCTTGGTCATGACGATGTTCCGATCGCCGCGCCACACTGTGGATGGCAGAAGAACGTCGTTGCTATCCACAGGATTAAGGGGACGGTAACCTCTCGGCGATTCTGGGAATGCAGGGCTGTCGGAAGAACTTGGTCCTGCCCAAGCGAAGATCTGCCATTGATCGCACTTGAGGATGATGGCCTCCATCAGCCTGTAAAACGCCCGTTTCCCCTCTCCATATGCTACCATCATGCTCACGTCAAAGATTCCGATGAGGGAGTAAGCGACATCTTCGATGCGCGTAGTTGTCCGAGTAGAGGCCCACATCATCTTCTCATGGACGTTGCGTGTGCCTGGCTGGAAATGGCGTAGGTCGTCGAGAGGTATCCTCGTGGCGCGCGAGAGCACAGCCATGACCTCTAAATTTTCCTTGTCATTGAAGTTACTGGTGAGCGGCTCCCAGTTTCTGACGTAAAACTTCATCCTCCATGGCGCAAGCAGCTCTTGCAGAGTCCACCCGCGGGTGAACCATACATCGTCGTGGAGATCATCGACCGACGTGCTATCAGCGAGGTATGCGATGCAGACATAGGCATCACGATACCACTTAAACATCGACCGGATGGCCTCTTCGAGCTCGGTACTGCTGTCCTTGTTGATGCAGCATGTATCGGACCATGCCAGTCGGCACCCGAACTCGTTGGCTTTCTCGCAGAACTTCACGAGTTTTTCATAACCGTACGGTCTAAAAGATTTCAAGATGTCGGAGAAGGTGGGTTCGCCGGTGTCTAGCCAACGGTGCGAGAGGACAGCGAATTTCAGAGTATCCTTGACGATATCTCTGATCGCGTCCTCCCTCTCAGCTGTAGGGCATGATTCCCTCAAATCGACAAGACGATTGTGGATAACCTCCTCCGTGATCAAGGCGACCTCTTTGCGGAACATTTGCTTCACTTCATTGCGGCCGACAAGTCTTTTGTCTGGCACGTAAATGAGGTACGTGGGCAGTTCATTTTGCACATATGTACTGAATATGCGCATAACCTCGGGAATTGCAGACTTAGTGGAAGAGTCCTATCATGAACCATGAGCCAGGTGTAACAAAGTGAGAGGCAACACTAACCGGGAGATCTGGGCCACTCCTATCGTTGGGGTTTTTGGGTGGAAGGTTGACTCTAAGGCCTTTAATGCCCAACGTGGGCGGCTAGCAGAAGGTTAGAAATGTAACACCAGCCGGTACAACCTCGTACAGTTATCTGTCCCTGAGGAAAAATATCGCGGACATCATCGATGACCTCTCGCTTCAACTTGTGGAATTTTGCCTTTCAAAATACATTTCTCCATAAGACAGTATAATTTCCACTTCAGCAACGTTACCCCTCACCTTGAGTGCCATTTGGTCATTGTCCTCCATGGTGATATCCATTACCTGGTGCACAAGGTCTTCAAAGAAGTTACCCATTTCAGTCGAACTAAGGCGAGCGGTCTGGTGAAGGTTCTAAGAAAAAAAGGGAATGATGGTCACGTCGATGAAGGAGGTTTCACTCCTCGTTATATAGTACAGGTTTTCTGCGATCCTGTGTATGTAGTGCAAACCATGACCCTAAACCCCTGGTACCGTGTTGCAGCACCGCTTGAGCATCGCATTGAGTTTCGAAGATTTGCTCATTGCGGTGAGCTTCGAATGGGCCTGCTGGAAACTTTATCCAGAACCCCTGAGTTACATATTTTGGGGACGGCATATTGCGCAGATAGCTCTGACCAGTACATATTAGTTTGGAATCAAGTTGCGTCCGTCACATTGCAACGTACCTTAGAAGTCACTGCCTCGCTGCTGTATGCGGTTATGCCCCAGATCTCCTATAGCTTTGGGCACGAACCCCAAAACGTGTCAAAACTGAGCTAGTCATTTCGAGATCTGCGCTGGGCACTGTATGGTAGTGATTACGAGATGGAATTAGAGAAGATGGTCCATTAAACTGAGTTCCGGTCCTTGACATATGTCAAGTGTTCTTAGCACGTGCATCGGTCAGATTCATGCGCGATCTCCACTGGCACAAACAGCACAAACCCAATTTTCCCTTCACGAAGGTAGATAACGCTCGCGCAACTTGTTTAGCGAGTCGTCAAGCGTTCTCTCGGACCAAGATGCAAGCTCAAAGCATCTAAAAAAACACTGATATCATAGCATAAATCCCATCCACAGAACAATATAAGTATTCATACATGATAAATGTAGATGTGCATACCAAAAAATAAAGCATGCTGTTGTTTACACTCCCAATCACGACTGAGCAGCCTCTCGGCTAGCGAGGAACACACCCATCTCTCTCGTTTTCCCTCTTGCGCTCGACAGTCCAACGCTTGGAAATCCCCGTGCAACCTCTCCCTCAATGGCGAGCCCCATGCGCTCATGGGGGACAGGGAATGCAGCAACGGCTGGAGACACAGAAATGGACGGTGCGGGAGTATAAGGTGCCGTGGACTGTGATGCTGTTGAAGACGAGAGTGGCGAGAAGCGTTTTGACGTGCGGTATTTTGACTTTTTGGCTGAGTTGGGCAGCTGCATTTCGGTCTGTGGGTATGACGGTGGGACAGCTTGTGCCAGCTCAGGCTGATGATGGTTGTAATTTAAATTTGCATCTCCGTTGGAGACTGAAGCAGATGTCCGAGAGCGAGAATCTGAACCCGAACCACTCCAAATAGAATACCGTTTCTTGCGGGTGTATAACTCCCCGCCAAGGTCAGCATCGTCGACGTCCTCAGAGCCTTCCCCCTCTCCCCCTATGGCTGACAATTCTTCTTGCCCCCGTATAAATGGCCCAAATTCACTGGCTGGCAGCGAGGGTATTGCGGATTCCCCACTGCCCTGGAACCCCTCGAAACCACTCTCTTTTACAACAGAGTTACCATTGAGTGAGAGCAAAGTAGACATGCGCTCTCGCTCCTTGCGCTCCCTGCGCCGTGCCTTCCTCTCTGCCTTCCGCTGTGCTTCCTCATCACGTCTGTGCTGCTCGGCTTCTGCGCGGTCTGGAGACGACAGGCGAGCAATAGTCGATGCATCCAGTGGTGCTGCATCCGAGTCTAGCGTGGATGATGATGCAGTGCCAAGTGTTCTCCTCCTCCATCCTCGTTCCTCTTCATCATCCGAAAGGTAAATCGGCGGGCGGCCGAATAATGTGTACCCAAAGAGTGTCAGTGAGAATGCAGGACGCTTTCGAGGCTTTCTCCGGCCAGCACCGATGTTTGAGTGCAGAGAGAGCGTTTCTATTTCTGTGTTTGTGTCACGCAAGAGCCCTTCGAGTTCGTTTGATGGCAACCTATGGGTTCTGGCATCGCTATGGGCATTATCATTGGAGTTGACAGGCGCTATGCTACTAAAGCATGGCATGCACGAGGCCAAAGCAGCTCGTATGCTGTCCTTGTAGGAGAAATTGTCCACAGCCATGAGTTTGATCCAGACAGTTGCGGTGTGTGAGGGTATGATTTTCCGGTACAACGCCAGCGCAATGTGTGTAAGTCAACAAATAGGTTCCGCCGAGAGGTCGTAGTCACAGTCGTAACAAACTCCGGCCTGCCACAGGCTCAGAAAAGCACAAACACGTGCAACGCTGAATTTGACCTCAATTATTGATTCAAAACGGTAAGAGAATACCGCCGTTGCTAGTAGTTAACTTCAAAATAAGTCGAATAGAAAAGTACAGCTGTTCTTGTATAGTAAGTACTTCTCATTCAACTAAGCTGTGAGTAATTATACAAGGCGACACTCAAACTTCAAGCCATCCATGCGAAGAGAACAGAAGAGAAACATCACTCCATACCAGCCGAATCAGGGTCGAGCAAGCTGTTACTTGGGGTTAGTTCTGCCAATGAAATGCACATGAAAAGCTCACCTATACTGTTTCATTAGGGAACACTCACCACCGTTCTCCAGATCAATGTTGTACGAGTAGAAATAGCCCTCGGACGAGATGACCATGACCTGTGGTAGCGTTCTGCACCAAACATGAGAAAACTGAGGCAGGAGCAAAGAAACAAATTTGATCATACCCGCTGAGCGCAACAATGCATCTTGCTCCACTTGTCGGTAGCCGCAGGAACGCAAAGTCACGAGATGGTTCCCACATCTCGGTCAATGTATTAGGGAGATAGCCCCCAACTGAATGCGACAGACTCTTGGTCATTTGCATCGACTTGCGACGAAGACTCAAGCTAGACAACATTAGAAATAAATTTTACACTGCGAAAGAATACGATCAACGTACGAAACACCGCTCTTCTTGCGTTCGTCTGCGAATGCTTCATACCCTCCATCCATCCCTGCGGACCCCTCCCTGCCATCAATGGACTCCGGCGGGCTAGACAGGGCATCATTCTTCTTACTGGACGAGGACGACGGAGCTTTTTGATAGCCAAGTTTGAAGATGTGTACCGTGTCATGTGCCGAGCTGACAGCAAGCAAAGATGACACCACATTGAAGTTAATCGAATATATTCGTGCTTCGCGTGTCCCCCGACGAAATTGGTACAATTTCTCTGCCCCAGGGATGCTCCAAACACGGATGACAGTGCCCTTGTCGGATGCAGTCGCAAGCATAGTACCTGTTGAATTGATGGAAAGGAAAGAGATTGGCGATTTGTGCGCCTGGATTACATTAGCAACTGTCAATGTGCGTGTGGAGAAGAGGAGAACGTCGCCAGATTGGTGACTGGATGATGGAGCCTGTGACGTAGAAGCCTGACTAGGCGATTGAGTTGTAGGGGAAGGGACAGGAGAAGGATAAGCAAGGTAGGAATTGTCAGCGGATGGTGAGAGGGCACATGTTGCTGGCACAGCTCAGCTGTAGATCGTTGGTGAGCGGTAGGTAGCGCGCTCACCTTCTGGGTTCGGTGTAGTCTCTATGATGTGCAGAAGACGCATGTTGGATATATCATAAATATATATTTCGACTTCCAACACAATGACGAGGGTTTTCCTGTTCAATTTGACAGAAAGGATGGAGGACGGGAACAGCAGTTCGCAGATCATGGATTGTCGCTGTCAGTGTGAAGAGATGACATTCCGATTTACATCAACACTTAGAGGAATATGCACCTTTGTATTGACAATTTGTAGTTTTCGTGGGCTAGACTGGGGTTGATCAGCGGCACCGACTAGCGCAATGAGCGAAGTGCAGAAGAGCATTTCAACGATGCCACGTGCGCCGTCATCTAAGCATAAGATGTTCCTGCCACTTCAGTGTCCACAACACCAGTACAAGACATGACAAATACGCACTCATCGTGTAGACTCTCCCGAATGGATCACAGTTAGTTATGCTGTACCCCTTCCGAGTTCCAACAGATATGCATCTAAAATGCGGTTCGAGATAGCGCTCCTTTATACGTCTAAGACTTACGAGAAATCTTGGTTGAAGTTAGCGAAGAGCATATTGGCGTTTGACTTCTCTGCCATGGTAGCGGAATGAGGCGTAATGTGCTTTGGTGGCAGCACTAATACTTGACATTTCAAACAACAACAAACATCATGAAGTTCGTGACGAAATCCACCGCAGGGCTGTAACACTGGAAGTTCTGACACCTCCCCAAGCCAAAACTTTTGCACTCTTTGGATATGGAGTCGATTCTATTGAGCGATGGAACAGAAGAGGGCGATCTATCCAACAATCTTCAGTCATCCGAATACACATATACCGAACTGCGCGAGCTGGGCTTGCGAATCTACAAAGAAGTCTGGAAACAATTTTACGAATGGGAACCAAGGGAGTGCCAACAAATAATCCACGCTTTGGCCGGCCGCCGGGTCCCCGGAGAAAGGGAAAACTATAATAAGACGATAGACCAGCTACTTGACCCCGGGACTCTTCAAGATTCGGAGATGCGGATCGACTCAGAGAACCCAAACCAACCTTTGCTGGTAGTGACCCAGTTCGATGCCGAGGGTCGAAGCATATCATACCCATTAGAGATAGAGGAGATCTCGGTCGATCCTGCTTTTGAGGCCCACCCTTCTTACGAGTCTTGTCCACCAGTCAATCAGAGCATTCAAAACTTGAGAGTGCACGATGCAGCTGCATTCATTCCGTATGGCGATGAGGAGAAATTCCCTGTCATGGAACATCTAGACAACTTTGAGTCGTTCGCATGGGAAGAAGATTTTGATCCAGACTGTAAGCCACGATCAGTTGAACATGCTGAAACCGCCACTAGAGATTGCATCCCCAGCGGAAATGATCCAAATAGAAACTGTCCGCCGACTACACAACGCTTCGAATATCTCGATAACGAACATTGATCGGATACGCGTATTCCCCAAACCACTCCGTGAATCGTACAACGATGGTCTTCTATGGCAAAGATTTCAGCGGTCAGCTTGCTTGATTCACGTCCTCGTGAGGACGGTCTCATTGTTTTATGCAGCGATTTCCTTCGCTGGCCTGGTGGAACTGAGGATGATATGGAGGGGGCCTGCATCGAGCCCGCACCTGATGATCTCCGTGAGAGGTTGTCATCTGTTCTTGCGACATTTTGTCCAAACCTTAATTGTTTGCGAACTCTGTGCACAACCCATAGTAAGTTCCACTGTAAATTTTCAATCTATTCTATTCATGTGGTCTGCTAGAGCATCCTCAGTTCGGGTCGTTCGGAGGCGGTAGGCCCAAGGTGACAAATCAAAGCATGCGACTCAGTGAAGGAGAGCCCTGTGGTGAAGAATGTTTCCGTCTAACAGACGAATCTTACATGGTAACCGCTGTCGCTGAGCACCCCACAACATTCATTCCTGATCCGTGTGGTCCTTAGGACAAAGTCTATTGGGAGAATGAATCCGACCTAGAGACATTGAAAACAATCTTATCAATATCACCCGATCTATTTCCTTGTCAGCTTGCGGATCTCTGCTTCAAGCCTTGCCGAGAAGTAAACACGTCTACATGTACCATATGCTGCCAATCTCACTTCTCTCAAGGTCTTTGTTCAGCGATCTCACATATTTCCTGATAACATGTTATATGATGATGACCCTGCAGGCGACGTGGAAAGTCATACAAAGAACAAAACAAAGAAAAAGGGCCGAAAGCCTCGTCCCATTTTTGGTACACCAATAATGTTTCTGTTGGGTGACCATGGGTTTCTGACTCGCAATCAATCGCAGAAGAAGATCCTGATCATGCAGAATTTGTCCCGTAAGTTCCTTTGTATGATCAAACAGATGTAAATCATGGGATACTTCATGATGCAGCCTCGAGCCTTGCAAGCATAAGGGTCCCTGTGAAAAAGAACGGTGTGAATGCTACCGTCGGAAACGACACTGTCAGCTGTCTTGCCGGTGTGGTGTAAATTGTCCGTATGGTCATGACTCAATTTGTGATACGGGTTAGGTTCTAAATCATTTCAGGCAATCGTCAATATCGCGGTTGCGAGTGCAAACGCTGCCTTTCAAATTGCCCGTGCGTTAAAAACCTTCGAGAATGTTTGCCCGGGATATGTAATAAATGCGATGCAAGGTAGGGTACAGCATTTAAACATTCAGTGAAGTGGGCTGAATTCCAATTTAGAGGTCAGACTACGATATTAACACGTTTACGCGCGTGACTCAGTGCAAGTGAACTTTAATCAGGCGCAACTGACGACCCATGCGTAAACACGAGGCTTCAGCGAAATGATACCAAGGTAAAGACGCCCGTCGTCCACGAATTATACTCACTACTGGTCAGGCGGTCGAGATCAGGCGGGCTAAACATGGCCTAGGAGCTTTCGCGGCGGAAGATATGAAGCCTGGCGATTTCATCGGAGGTGATGCGTTTCTTGGGACATTGGAGTCTAACAGCTTATGTTTCTGCTTAGATTATGTCGGCGGCATTTTGACGAGTGACCATGTTGAGATTCTACAGTACGCCTTCGCATTATTGAACACCGACGAAACTTGAAACATCCTCACTTCATGCAGTCATGTTACCGAATATAGCGGTCGCAATTATTTTTTCGAATTTTCAAACGCCAATGGGGATGAGATGCTTGATGCTGCGCCAGTCGGAAATGCTACTCGTTTCCTAAACCACGCGCCCGTTGAAAACGAAACGGAATCGGAATCGGAATCGGACTTTCCCAGGTCTGATGGGACGCCCCGCTCCAACGCGGAACTGGCTAATTGTGTAGCACAAGGTGAGTCTCGACGTGGAGCCTATTTATACCCATCAGCTGAATGATATGCACTCGAGTTCTTCTTGTCAACGGGGAGCATCACATCGGATTTTATACCAGTAAGGTTTCCAGATGGTTTACCGAGTCGTTCTACTAATTGTATTATCTGAAGCCAAGGCAGTGGCTCGTGGATCCGAACTTCTCTTGTGCTACGGTAAACAATACTGGTTAAAAACTGGCAAGGGAGACAATTTAGAACCATCCGAAATCGATTGATGGAGCGGGATGAGTATTGGTTCTACAGTATATAGAAGGATTACCATCCAAGATGTTCGTATCAACAATACCTGTACAAGACATGACCAGGAGGCACTCAGTACTCATTACGTAGACTAATTTGTGATACTGTCACTGGCACCTTTTCAAGTTGGTTTCATTTACACCTAAAACAGCTTGGCTTATATAACCACGGACGAGTCGATGCCCCACTCTCAGTCACATGCACTTGATCAGCGCCACTCTACTTTGCGTTTCGATTTTCGAATAACTACAAACAGTCATTGGCCCCATACGCTCGAAGCACTCAGCAACCAAGTCTACAACTTAAAGGCTTTCCTGAGCAACAACTCTTGCACTCTGTTGATATGGAGCTGTTTTTGTTGATCGGTGGAATGGGAGAAGGCGATCTATCCAAGCCTCCATTCCAACCTCAGTCATCCGAATACACCGTGATAGTACCGAATTGCACGAGTCACAGCTGGGCTCACAAATCTATAAAGACTCCTTACGAATGGAGTGCCAACCGCAGTTTTGCAGGGCTGCTGAGAAACAAACAAGTTCACGTGTAGCCTGCAGGCTGTGCTTTCAACATCATTCCAAGTTCTTTCAAGGTCCTCGTTCAACGACACCACTGTCTTTTGGCGTAACAGTTAAGCGGAAGACAGTCTTGACTCAGTTTCAGCATCACATCGGATTGTACAGCAGGCAGTGCATCAATTTGCTTTGTGAATGGTGTCATCTGAAGTCAAGGCAATGGCTGGCGCGGCCCGCCCGCTTGTGTTCAAGAACTTTACAAATCCTTCATTACATTCAGGAGATGCAACCGACTGACAGTGGAAGGACTCTTTCTACCCTCATCGTCGTCGGCAAGGTTTACAGAGGCTCTTCTGAACTCGTAATTTATAGGTTCTATTTTCTTCGATCTATATCGACACGTATCTACCTCTTTCTTGTCGATTTCACTGGGCTTCAAGCTTCAACGTCAACCATGATATCACGAAAGCAAAAACAGGGCTCACAGACTTGTGACATTCTGACCCTCGGGCTGCCGACCTCGATTTTCAATCGACTACTATTGACAGATCTTGCCTCCATTGAACTAAGGCGCGCAGATGAGTTATGTAGTTGAATTCTGGTTGCACAGCGAACTGCTCATACTCACACCACCTTTGTAACAAATATAGCCTTCGCAGCAATTGAGAGTATCGTTGCATCCTTCATCCAGGTTCGAACATGCACTGACAAACATAGATGCTGTCAAAGCAACCACAATGGCGAGGAGGGAAACGCGCATTTTCTATGCGAGGTGATATGGAATCTTCTGAGGTGAATCTCGGATGAGGGAACACTGTAGGACGATGGCCAGCTTTTATATCCTGCATACACTTATGGGAATGATCCTGATCAATCTGGCAGAATCGTTGAATCGTTATTGCTGTCAAATGGCATAAATCTCTGCAGAACTCGCAGGAACGTATCCATTTGGTTATGAACATCGAATCATAACCTGCATACAGACATCGACGATCGCCTTCGCAACCACGCTCAAATCACCAGTCTCTCATCCCAATCTCTCACTCATCGCTTCATCATTTGAACCTGCACTGACATTGCCAGGGTGGCGGTAAAGTTGAGAAACTGATGCTCATTCTCGTCGATATTTCCGATATACAGGTACTCGGTCGATATTTCATGTTAATTTTCTCTCACTCACACGTCGCTTCTTCACATGTAATAATTCGCCTACACCATTAGTAGGCCAGTAACCCTACAACTACTGCGCAGAGATAATGAGGCATCTTTCGGCAATTGATACTCATTCTCATTCTTCGCATGTGCTTGGTCAAATATTCTTGCATTGGTCATAGTTACAGCCACATCACAGAGCGCTCTTTTGAACACCAATGATGATATCAATACCCTGCAGATGACCCTATATACCTTTTTGAAATTTCTCTTCAAAATTTCTCTTTCTCATCAACCGTCCCTTGTAATTTTATATTGCATCCTCATCTCACCAAACAAATCAAATGTGGTCACTAGAAGTACTAGACTTGTATGTAGCATCAGGAAACACCGGGTCTCTTAGCGTCTTTTAATGTTCACTTACTCGCTCTTGTGTTCAAGAACTTTTCTTGTCTTACGGTAAAAAATATTGGACATGAGACAGACAGTTATCAAGCGATTGATGCAGCGGGCTGAGTGTCAGCTCTACTGTACCCACCAGAAAGAGGACAGCTGCCAAAATGCGGTTAAGATGCATCCCAATCTAAGATTGAAGGTGTGCATCGCCAAGGTCATGATATTGTCATGGTGGGTTTTCGGTAGACTGGTGACCAGCCCCTCTATGAGGCAAACCGTCGATAGAGGGACTGGTAAATCTGGGTTTGAATTTGGATAGTGCGCGCTTTGGAGTCGTCACATGACCTGTAGCCAATAAGAAAACTGAAATTTTCGACGTGAATATTTGAAATGTTGAAATTAATGTTTGATTCATATTGATGCGATGTATACACGGTCGCGTCATTAATGTATGTATCTACTCTACAACTCCAATGGACGTGAACTCTATCATCCAAGCTGTGCAGGAAGCCTCGATGGAAGGACTAGATTCATTTGCTCGTTTGCTGATACAAGAACGGCTCCCTACCGGTTTGGAGTGCGCTGTTGATCCGATCGTGAGTAGACATCCGGTTTCGTCTGGTACTCGGTGTAGGGATTGATGCTGGAGATCCCATGGTAATGTCGACAAAGCCAGAGTCCACGGAGCGATTTAGATCAGTCTCAGCAAGTACCGAGAGGTCTCCGTCACGTTCGAGCCATCCTTGAGACATCCTGGAATCCTTGAGTCCAAGTCAAGAAGAGCTTGAAAGTTAGGACCACTAGACACAGTGAAAAAAGATTGATTTGAGGCAGAATACATAAATAGAGCACATCTCAAACGTTAGGCTGCCCCGCAGCAGTTGGAATGAAAGCTGATCACTGCTGGAGACGACGAGCGACGTTACATAGAACAACGGTACTTGTAATGTATGATCAAATAACTTAGCAGACTTATCTAAGCAAGGTCTAAGTCCCGAACAGGGTTTTCCGTCATGTGACGACTCCAAAGCACGCACTATCCAAATTCAAACCCAGATTTACCAGTCCCTCTATCGACGGTTTGCCTCATAGAGGGGCTGGTCACCAGTCTAGGTTTTCGGGCGAACACGACTTAAACTCACACGAGTTCCTTCCTGTCGTTGTCAGAGGTCCGACATTAGGCGTCGCATTGCTAACTAGTTAGTATCACTAGTGCATCAGGGAAAGCCTTCCCCCTGAAATCAAGGTAATTTCCAGTAAATCCCTGGTTTTCCTTTGATTTTCAGTGAAATCATGTTTTACTGTTTTATTTAAGTCTGGTCATAGTTTCAATGAATTAGTTCGAATTCCAAGTGATTTCTTCTGAATACTAATGAATTAGTTCGAATTCACTCGTCGGTCATTGTCAAAATACACGAAAATCAACATTATATTGGATCAGAATGGCCTGTCAGTATGTACGAACGACTATCAAAATGTACAAAGTGAGATCAGTAATACATGGGTATCCGCGGGTGCACATGGCACAACAACCTTAGTTCAATCCTCGGACATTGCACTGAGATCGAGGTAGTCGAAGTTGCTCAGCGCACCAGATGGCAGCAACACATTGTCCGACACACTAACATAGTATGTTAATGGCAGGCATTCGATCAGAGGATGATGAAACGCACCAGACAGCCTTGTAAAGCCGTGCCATCAGCGCATGATACTTCTTTTTACCGCCTTCAAAGATCCGAGTGAGGGTTGCTTCATGGGCTTTGTAAACACTAATGTAGACAGTAGCATTGAATGATTTGACTTGAGAGCTCGACGGTGGATTGCCGCTCCTCCAGTCCATCAGTATGGCATAGATCTGCAACAACCATCACATTTAGTAAGTATTCATCTAGAAAATACAAATAAAAAACGTACAACAGTTGCAATCAAGGCAACCATAGCTATGGGGAGCTCCGGCTCATCATTGCCATCTAAGACCGACACAAAATCTTCATGTGATTGAACTCCAATCGAGTTCTTGCTGTCGAACAATGACTGATGTAGCGTATCGATCATGGCCTCGTCGCAGAAAGGTTGATCACCAAGGACTTTACCCTGGGCAGTGACATCAATATCGACAATGAAACATGACACTAACCACTCACATTTTGGTTAGTCGGAAAAATATACTTGTGACTTTTCAGGAGCTCTTCGACCTCATTGGAACAACCTCTCCGAAGTGCGAATCGAGACACAACGATTTGATGAGCGAGCTTTTTGATACCAGTGTGGAAAGCACTAAGCCGTCCCTCAGGCTTCAAGCAAGAGCATCAGCGTCGAGTTCATACCAAAAACAAACACGAACAATACTAGCAAGAGCAACTGCAAAGTCAGTGTCGTGTTTAAGCCTCTTCAATATAGCCCTTTCTTTATGCTTGTAGGCAGCGTTACTGACTGCTTGCATAGCCATGGTTCATTTCTCGGTGATAGTAGGGAATGCATTCTCGAAGATAGCAGATTTCTTGAGTTCAAAGACAGCCGTCTTCAAAACCATCTGTATGCGTGTGTTCTGAGCCTTGAGGTTGATGGGGCCGTCTGCTTCGTAAACTAGATTAGTGAACTCAGGCCATTTGAAAGGCGCATAAGTGTTGGATGTGTCACGTGGTTCCGGTCCAGGGGTTGTGACAGCGATGGAATCATCTAAGTCATGTGACGGCTGTGCAAACTGTGGTCTCTACAAAGCAAAAATCAGAAATAATCGTGAATCGGGCCAGTGAAAGGGATTGTTAGGTCACCTCAATCTGTTGTCGTCCTTCGAGCTTGCTCCTTTTCTTCTTCTCGTCAGGCTCACATTTGACCTTGACTGAGTCAGCTGTGACCGTGACGAGTTGGCCCGCCGGATCATCATCATCCCACGTTGATGCAGCGGCTGAACTATCACTGTAACGTGAAGCAAGGCGGGGTGGAACAAAACGCGGAATCTGACATTGTACCAATTTGTAAGTGACTATCAGCTAGTAAATTTGAAATCTCATGCACCTCTTTCATTAGTACCTCATGAAGATTCTCCGGGGTTTTAGACAGTAAGTCTGAGATATCACTGTCGTCTTCAACTTCCACATTGACATCTGACTTATTGGATTCAGAGTCGCTGATACCATATTCACTCGCAGAGTCGTCGGTGTCAACTGACACACCATTGTGACTTGTGAGAGTGGAAGCTACACCTATTTTAAGTTGAGTATCACTTCGACTCGGTTTTAAAGAGGCCACACATACTGCTTCTCTCACGACCACCACCTTCAACTGCTTTCTGTGTCTTTTTGACTGCTTTCAGTGTCTTCCTTACTGACTTTGTTGCAGGCGCAGACAGAAGCTCAGTCACCGTTGGTGCACGCTTGCGATTATTGCTGGTTGTATCATTCCAGACTGACATAGGTATGTAGCATAATTTTTTTTGCACAATATGGGTTTAGGCGCTCACCTTTGCGCTCCAGTGCTTTTTTCTTTGAAGACCATTGCAGCTCTTTGCGAGAATGTGAGTTTTTTTGGGTCTGATTATGACAGCCTCTGTACTCACTGCTATCTGCGATGTCATCAGCTATGTCTGGGGTTACGACCTCAGCGCCGGAAGACACTTGTCTCGCTGCTACTTTCTCTTTCTTTTTAGCATTCCGCTTCTGAGCAGCTATCTCAGATGGACGGGGAGGCATTTTAAAAGGTGAATGAGTGTTTTCTCTTTTCAAAGAGTGTACTGCTACGAAATTGAATGATACAGGACGCTGAGGGTAAAAAGAATGTAGCGGTCAAGTTGGTGGGCAGTGTTAAAGAAAAAAGTTCATAGTCCGCTGAACTTTGCATGGGCAGGGTTGCAGGGTTGCGCTGGGGCAGGGTTGACAAAGTTCGTAGTCCGCTGAACTTTGCTTGAAGCTTTGTTTGTGGCTGTAGGTTGTCTTTGTTATGGCCCTTGTTTTTTTACCACCAGAATGATCTCAGTGGCCTTTCTCGTGTCAGTGGAACAGAACACAACCAAATCTGCCGCTTTTTGCTCGGTATCATCATTGATATCCGATTGCCTGGAAATCTTGACAGTGGTCGCCTTATTTGTGCTGTTCGTGCCATCCTCGACTTCCTTTACCTCGCTCAGTACCCTTGCCACACCGATCAAACTCTCGCGCTTCTCACTGAAGCCCTGACTCGCTTTCATGACAACAAAAGCATCTTTGTCGATCTCGGCATTCGAGCGAATTTCAACCTTCCAAAACTCCATTTCTTCCGTCATTATGTGCATATGATCAAACTATATGGCACGACTGACAACTACAACACCGAGTACACCAAACGCTTACATATTGATCTCGCAAAGGATGCTTACAGAGCTACTAACCATAAAGACGAATATACGCAAATGACACTCTGGCTTGAAAGACGCGAGAAGATGTTATGGCACAATAATTTTGTCCAATGGCGCCTTGCTGGCGATCCTCCTCCACAAGACAGGTTACCGCCCGACATGGACTATCGTCGCTCGATCAAGATGACGAAACACCCAACTATTAGACGTGTTCCATTGGATAGTGTAGTTCGCGACTATGGCGCCACTTTTTTCACCGAAGCATTAGCTCGTTATGTCGTTCGCACAAATCAACCTGGCCTTTCTCCAGCGCAACTTGAACAAGAAGCTTCCCATGTCATCCTTCCCTTCCAGACTGTTGCCGCTGTAGAAACAACAATACAATGAGGAACAAAAGAAGCTCCTGACTGTATCTGTAAAAGTTGTAAGGTCGCGCGCTGCCTAGTCTGCGTTACTTGAGAAGCAAGTGCGTTCGACCCTATAGGGGAAGTGAGTGCAGCAAGGATCTAGAAGTGTGCCCTTAAGCGAAGCGCGAGAAAGCGCAGGAGCGCGCAAGGTACAAAGGCGCGGGAACGCGCGCGCGTATTAGCGCGAAGCGCGGGAAAGTGCGCGTGCGTATGCAGAAATGAGAAACTAAGCTTAAGTAGTGATATAAAGCAAGATAAGAGATATAAGAGTGCAAAATGTAAAGGAATAGCTTTCTACTATATTCTGCTAAGTAGTAAGTGGGTAGTAACTAGTAAGTGAAAAGTAGGAAAAGTAGGTTCAGGTGAAAAGTATGTACTGCTGGCGCTTATATAGCGTGCCTAAGCGCGCTCATGCGGAGCCGAAGCGCTACCGAGTAGGTATGTAAAAATATATATGAGTGGGAAACTATGATAAAAATAAAGGTGGAACTATGCTAATAAAGGAAATGGAAATATACATACTAGGGAGCTTGGTGGACAGTGGATGGATGCATCTGGATGGCTGGCGCTATAGGGCGCGCAAGCGCGGGAACGCGCGCGCGCGTATACATCGTGAAGCGCGGGAATGGTGCGCGCATGGCGCGCGTTGCGTGGGAAAGCTGCGCCTCATATAGAGATAGCTGCGGGTAGCGCACAGAGTAATGCTATGAGTTCGTGCTGTATACTCCTTGGTGAAAACTACCATATCACGCCATGAGAGGCATGATTCTCTACACCGCATTCCATAGGGTCAAGTTCCACGCAATCAATGCTCACGGACATCGTGATTCAACCGTTACCGTGGATTCAGTGCACTGTCAGCCACCACGAAAGGACAAAAGAAGGCAGATAGTTCCTGCGCGCTTCGACACGGTTTTAGTTAACGAAGATGGTGGTGGGACGACAGGTGTTGATGGTGCGTGTTTTTTGTACTAATCCCTTGTAACATCATGCTAATATTTGATCATCAATATCAGGGTATCGTGTTGCACAAGTGCGCATCTTCACGCTGACAAGCCAGGCTACAGCTGCCTTATTTCGCACACCTGGAATTTTGCCTACCCACTTTGCATATGTGGAATGGTTCACGCCATTCGGGCAGCCTGAAGCAAACCATGGTTTGTATAAAATTTCCCGCCTCATTCGTAATGGAGAGCGTCTGGCAAGCATCATTGACATTTCTGATATTCGCAGGAGTGTACATCTTATTCCAAAATTCGGCCCTGTAGCACCTCGTGAATGGACCAGTAGTACCGTTCTGGAGCTTTGTTCTACCTTCTTCATAAACTCGTTCAGCGACAGGCATGCTTATTTAACTATTATCTGACTAGTACTAGAATCGACTACATTCATCTGAAATACAATGATTTCTGTGAAAATACTACATTTCCTGGAATTCAACCGTTTTAAGCTCGAGTTTGAATATTTCGGTGAATTTCCTGGCAGAGGCTTTCCCTGATGGCCTAAGACGACAATGTACATTATTGTTGCTCAAGAATTTCTTCCACTGTACTTAACCTTGATCTCAAGTATCCTACACAAGTACTACCTATCAACTACGAGATTACGCAACGTGTATTTGGTTTATCCTCATATTATCTTTACAGCCGCTGGTTAGGAATACTCAGTCAGCATCTTGTTGAATGAGCGCCAAGGCTTTTTCAGATTGAGCCTCGATCGAGCACTTGAAGGGCTTGGGGTGGCTGCGAGTGTTATTCAGAACACCGTGGTCACATAAAGACACGCGACATACCTGATCACCCCAGATGTGCAGTCAACTTCAGGGGTGATTTCAACGCCATTCTCGACAACCTTGGAAACGTTGAACACCGCAAGTGACATTGCGACGGATATCCAGATGGATGCATCAGCGAGATGCAGACCTATGCAGTCGAAAGCAACCAAGGTTAGAAAACTGCCTTGACAGTCAGCGCCCTCTGTCGGCTGCGCATACCTGGGCAGAGCCTGTGGAACAGAACCTTAGCATTCACTCAAAATAAAACAGTGATTCAATCCTTACCGTCTGCCAAAACCGAAGCACACTGTGCGAGGATCTCTCTCAGGCTTTTTTCCATCCTTGGCCAAAAAGCGCTCAGGATTGAATTCCAAGGGGTTGGCATGTGTCTGCGGATCGTTGAGCATGGACCTGTCACGATCTAAAGCGTCAATATACCAGATACACAACAAGGAAAGTACCAACCATACATTAATGATTATCAAGGAGCCTTTTGGAATGTAATACCCATCGTGGATGTCGTCCTGAATAGTGCTGCGATCAACTGACATCGAACACTGTTGGTCAACTAAAGAGCGCGACAAGCGAGATACACATACTACTAGATATGACAATATTCCAGCGGAGGACCTCCTTGGTAAGTGCCTCGACGTAGGGGAGGGAGGCACGATCAGCGAAGGAGGGAAGACGATCAGGGCCAACAACAGCATCAATTTCAGCCTGAGCCTTCTTCTGCACATCAGGGAAAAGTGTCATAGCCAGGAAAAATGAGTAGATCGCAGAAACAGTCTGAGAAAACAAGCGTTAATCCATAAATATGATAGTTTCGAACGGACAAACCGTGTCAGCACCACCGCTGAATAGGGATACAGCAGACCACTTCACAATATAATCTTCTTCCGGGGTCAAAGTACGGTCCTTTAACAGATCTGAGGCGAACGACTTTGGGGCAATGCCAGCAGCCTGTAGAAATTGAATCAATAGCACATAGCGGGAAAACTACAAAGCTTAGTCACCACTTGGTCTTTGACAAACTTGTAGGGCGCAGCAGCCATTTCTTCGGTGTTCTTACGGCACTCACGAGCTAGGCGTTTGAAGCCAGCACCAGGGAACCACTCTGGGACCTTTGCCACTAGAATACGGTCAGGCTATTGAGAGAAAACATCGAATGTTATATTCTTACGGAATGGCAGGAAGTCGACCATAAATTCACCAGTGAGGCTGTACCGCGAGAGTTGGTCTAAAGTACGTTTTGCAATGTCAACGAGAGGATCGTCATCCTCCTTGACTTCATACCCATAACAAAGGCGCAGAACGACAGCGGCAGCGGTGCTATAAAAATCAAAATCAAAATCAAAATCAAGCCAACAGTAGTACTACAAAATACACACAGTCGAACATATGCTTGCAGTTGGTCGGGTTTCGCTAGTACACGCTTCAGGAATCGTTGGGCTTCCATCTCCTCGATGGGGTGGTAGTCAACCAAGGCAGCGCGACTACCAAAGATGCGGTGGCAATTCTTGCGGAACAGGCGAAAGCGTTCGCCGTAACGGAGATAAGCCAGAGTTTGCCCATAGCCCATCAGTTCACCAGTCATAGGAACAACCGGACGGTCAGAGTATATAGAGCTCTTCTTGTCCAGCATTTCCACCGCACTTTCGACGGAGTTCAGCACGACGATATGCATACCCAGAACATTGATATGCGAGATATCACCTGCGCGCAAGAGCATTACAATGCATGGTTTTGGAAAAACGAGAAGCTTTTACTACCATACTTCTTGCCCCATTCAGTGAAGGTGAGCCAGGACTTGTCACGAGGTATGTCATGAAGGTTCCCAACTAGAGGCAGGCCTCGAGGACCAGGTGGATATGGTGCACGATTCTTCTTGGCGAATATTACCTGCTTCACCAGATACACTCCGACGCTAGCAAGACAAAGGTACTGCAAGATAAGAACGGCGAGTGTCGACATGGATAACTATTAGCAGATAATGAGCAAGAGATGAGCAAGGCGGCGTGGTCATCAAGCAAGAGATGCCAAGTGAAGTGCCTGGGTTGAATATGTAAACCGGAAGAACATCTTATATCTCTTTCTTGATTTATCACTCCGATTGGGATGGACAATTTGTTATCAACGCATTAGGTCAGGCACTGGGATCCTGCTGGCATTTGAATGTCACCAGTACGAAACCGAAGGTTTAATGACACACTTTATCTTCCTTGATGTTATGGAGTATCGTTCATGCCATCCGTGATTAACGCAATAGGGTGCTGGCACGTCGCTGGACAACAAACCCAAGTTGTCGCTTAAACTCAGTGCATTAATGTCCGATCCTGGTCACGGTGAAGATTGACTAAAACTTAGAAGCGGATTGGGACGGACCTCAATTAAAAGGATATCTCGACCACCTGTGACTCCCACATAAGGGCTGTAGTTACAGGTGATAATAAATAGGGTTCGCACCTCTAACACGAGGCAAATACAGCCAATCAGCGCCTCCTGCAATATCTTTCCAATAATGAGGGACTTTTACATAGCGCTGTAGATCCATAGGCTCTTACCGGGACTGGGTGCCGCTGGCATAACGGCAAATGCCGTGACGTGTTGCTAACGTCGTTTAAGGTCCGAGCTCGCTGTGCGACACGATGAGCTCGCGCATCTCGATATCTCGCGCCCAGATGAATGTATTGACAGCGGGTTTTGACGGCCCATGCGCGAGTGACCATTAACATACGTAGATCTGACTTATGTGTCCATAGAATGTGTAAATTAAGCTATACTACTGCTCATCGGCATGATCATGAAGTTCCAGTCGCGAGAGATCATCAGCAACACGGAGCACATCCTGCAAACTTCTGGATGCCTCCTCTTCCACCTCCTCTTCCTGCTCCTCCTCATCTAACTCATCCGGAGTATCCGGCGCCACTGCAGGTCGTCTAATGTTATCAAAAGGTAAGTGTTCTACCAGCATATTAATTGTGATGGGATCTGCGCATTCGGCGCGCTGGAGCTTTCTCCGAGACCTGTATGAGTGCTTATACCTGGGGATATTGTCCCGGTGAAGCCAGGAAGTGTCGATATCTCATGGACCCGCTTTAGGTGGCGTGAGTTGAACCGTCCTCAGACGTTTCGATGTATAGCGACTTGATGGGCAAGAGTTGGACTGACAGCCTTCAACTGACCCTCGCACGCCCGCAGGTATTTTTCTTCGTCTTGGATGTACGTCACTAGGCGCCGTACCTCCACGTTCAACTGTTGAATTTCCTCCCGCGCCCGGCACATCTTGAAATACAGGTCCATCGCCCTGCGAGCAACAGGCGATGCCCAAGGCCATTGCGACACGTCTGCACGCGTGTCGCGTAAGAGGTCAAAGTCGGCTAGAAACGCGTACTCCACGACCTCGTCCCACTTAAGTGTTTTGTGGGGAGGGTGCATTGCCTCGGCGATGGCATTGTATGTGTTGAGGGCAGTTCGGATGGCGATGGAGCGTGTTTGTAATGCCTTGGCGATGTGTTTACGTAGCTTGTAGCCTTGAGTGATATTAGAATCGACACGCAAGCAAGACATCGTCTAAACAAACTCACCTGTAGCTGCCCGGTTCATCCTCGTCAGTTCAAATATGCGCGCAACGATAAGTCCTTCGAGGCAATCCAATGCACGTTGGTACTTCCTATGAGCAACGAGCCTCCCCACCCTCTGCCAATCTGCATCCTCAGGGGTCCAGCGCATTGTGATCTCGAGTTTGCGTTCGAGTGCTTGAACAAGTTTCGAATTCCTCTCGTGGTCCTCGACAGCGTGACGTCGTGCAGTCTCCACTTTGCGAGTATCTCGCATCTGAACGTCATATGACACGGCCTCATGGTGAGAATAGACCTGAAAGGCTTCCATCGCAGCATTAAGAGCCTCTCTAAGCGAATGAAGTGTCAGTTAACACAAGACTCGTATACCTTGGAAGCTACACTCACTCGCTTGCGGTGAAATTTACCAACTTCTGCCAATACTCCATCTGCAAGGTCTCATCTTCGGGTTCTCGCGTTAGACCTTGGAGGTAGGTCTTCTCTTCCTCTAGCCAGCGCTCAAAAATGCTCTCGTCCGCGAGTCCCAGATCTTGCATGAGCTTGGGTAGAGTTGTGTCGCCATCGTTCAAGATGTCCAGTGCTTGTTTGTAGTTGCAGTACAAAAAATTGGCTAATACGATAATTATGTCAGCTAATGTTCGATTTATGTACTAGCTATACTTACAAAGATTAGCGTAGACCTCAAAATCGTTGTTGTGCTCGAAATAACAGTCGATAGCCTGCTGCCAATGGAACACACTTGCATAGCGTAGCGCAGATGCCAGCGAATTCGATTTCGAGAATGTTCGTTCACACGTTTCGAGATCCTCGAGGCCCAGACCCTTGATGTACGTTGTGAGTGAGAACAGCTGGCACAAGCGCCTGTGAGCATGTCCATGGAAGGCGCCAACCAGGCAGGTGTGTTGAAGCGAGCGGTCCAAGTGAGCTGTTGTCGAGTGTCATCTTAAACTGGCAACCAATGTCATACCCACTCCCTAATCGTTTCCCGAATACGTCCAGCAACTTTGCAACGACAGCAAGGGGATACTTTGCACTATTCAAACACTCGTTAATAGCTGAGAAAACGATAGGCACTACTTACAGTTCACCGCTCTGTACCATGTCCGCGACAAGTAACACAAATCCGTGACGGCAAACAGCCACGAATATACCTGTTTCGTCGTATATCCCCCACGCTTTCTTTGTTTTAGTGTCGTCCATATTTTTCCATCGTCCTGCGCAAGAGTCTTCAGCGGCTGCATCTTCCTCGTCACCTACAGTAGTTGTCGTTTCGGACTCTCAAGAATACCGGTCTACAAATGCACGAGGTAGGTACCGGTCACTTGTGAATTGTTGGCTGGTAGGAACTTCAGATGAGGGAGCGAGAGAGTCGTCAGTGTCATGGTCTAAAGACCTCCGCAGGACTCGTTTTAGAGAGTCGTTACCGTCCATAGAATATAGCAATCTAAACGTTAGTGCTTCTTCGTCAGTGAGTTCATATGTACATGTAGGGCATGCGTGTTTAAGGCGCCAGTCAGGTGAGTTGCGCTGAAGCGATTCGGCTATGAGAGCTGCCACAGAGCGTCGAATTTGAAGATACGAGTCGAACGCGATAGAAAATTGACGCGAGAGATGTCTATGAAATTCCACCTGCATATGATTAGCACAATAACTAGACAAATTAAGATAGTTACCCCATGCAAGTCGCACACGGTTTTCACGAAAGCTTGAATAGACAAATGAGGACTTCTAAGATGGGCGACACGGTATAAGTCAAGAGCTTCTGTAGTGATTCCTACAGTTGGCGATATCGGCGAACAGGGCATGACACCTTGACGCACCATTGCAGAGCAGATGGTGGCGTCGATTGGTAAGATTCGAAGAGTCACTTTCGAAGCGTCTAATACAATGAGTCACGCCAACATCAATATTAAAAGTAAGCAAACAACAACAAGATCACTCACAGAACACGTCAATAACACTAATTGACCATTCACCATAGTCCGAGTTGTTCTCCAGCTCCTCATTCCGCAATCTCTCAAAAAAACTCTTGAACTCTTCCTTGGATTTTGCCAGGCTCCAGGCAAGGTAAGCGTCGATCATCGCAGGCATCTGCTCTGTAAATGCCTGGTTTCTGCGGAGGACACGATCACGATGAGTGCGGTTATCCACGCGTCGAACACGATTGTTTCTGTTCACGAAGGTATGTGACTCACATATCAATAGTCAACACTCACTGACACTTACATTTTCCAGAAATCTCCCAACACCTCTCTTGCAAGGTCAGTGAATTCGCCACCAGCGTGACTGATGGCAATCGATTCAGTCCCATTCCAGACATCGCCAAAGCTATCATCGCAGCCTTCCTGCCAATCGTCAATGGTGGCATTTTTGTCCTCTTTGAGTGCTTAGAGAGCACGACGCTCATCCGAACTCATGGCTTTACAAGAGGTGAGTTTTTTTTGTCGAGTATTTCAATTAACATTAGATACCTTGCAGACGTGCTTTCCATCGCTCGTTGGACCTTGCTGCCTGCTCCACCAAGTCCCGGTGCTTGAGCACCTTCGACACACTGCTGTTGACCGGCAGCCCATCTTTATTCTTCGACGGTCCAATGTGCCGGATAGATCGCAGGGAGAGCTTACTTCGAATTCGCTGGCGTCCTATGGTATTTTGCATTATCTACAAATTCTTCATGTTAGTAAGGAATATCTTTTCGTTTCACGTGACTGATGATCAGTAGTGTCGCAAAGGGTCCCTATACATCATCACGTCTGCTATGTCCAGCCATCCATCAACTTGATCTGACTCCCAAGCAGGTGATCACATTCAAGATCTACAGAATTTGCTCGATCGTATGAGCCTAGCAGGTATGTATTTCTTTCAACATCCACAAAATACTGTCTACTCACATCACTTATCATAGATTCATTGGTCGGTACTGTTACTTGGAAGCGCAAGACTACAGAAGAGTCTATCACACTCTCAAGAAACTCATGCGCGCAATCCGCGCACAACACCATTCCCGATGGACGGATCGTGCCTCTTCCTACCACTTCGACAGCTCAAACACCCTCGCATCCGGTGTCAATCCCCTCCCATGTTCCGCTTGCTCCAACCCCAGATGAGATCCGCCCACCACAAGCTGGGCTCAAGCCTGAGGGCTTCTGGGTCATCATCGTTGGGCAAGAAGTCGGTGTATTTTACTGTTGGTCAGTGTTACACGCTCTCTTTTACTTATATCTCACTTATAATCACAATGTTTATCTTAGGGCTGATGTTGCGGAACGAACACATTTTGTTAGCGGGAGTATTCAGAAACGATACCCATCTTTCCAGCAAGCTCTTCACGCATACACCGTCAAGTATAATGAATGCAGCGTCCATGCAGTTCCGATTCCGGGTGGCCCATTCTGGCCTATGAACTCACCTGTGTCCCCAGCATCTCCCCCTCCCCCTACATCTCCCACATTGTCTATAGACTCGGATGATTTGTGGTCGCAAGTAGAAGACCTGTCGGACACCATGAGTCAATATAAATTTGAATCTACGTAGTCTAGTTTGCGAATGGTACTTATAATTAGAGTACAGAAATTGAATTTGCCTTACTCATACTATGAGATGTGGCTGATAAAGATTATGTGTTGGCCATGTGAGAGTGAGAAGGAACTTGCGGTACTGGGAAGTGAGAGTGAGAAGGAACCTGCGGTACTGGGAACGGATCAGGAGTAGATGGCTCGTACTGTTATGATGCGGCTGATAAATATTATGTGTGGTGGCCATATGAGAGTGAGAAGGAACCTGCGGTACTGGGAAGTGAGAGTGAGAAGGAACCAGCGTGATTGAGAACAGATCAGAAGTAAGTTGTTGTTGCTGCTGCCCTTAGAGGGGTATTCCGATTGGCAAGTGCATCACATTTGCAAACGAGTATCCTAAACATCATAAATGCTCTACACTACTCAACACACATTTTTCCAGCTTCGGCTTGATAATGTATATCGTGTTCAAGTGGCTGAAGCATTCTGCATCTTCAAATTTTTGCTATAGGGTGTTATTCACAGTCCCGAGCATCCGAGAATGAAAGTTTGCTATAAGTTTGCTATAAGTTCACTATAAGTTTGCTATAAGTTCACCATAAGTTCACCATAAGTTCGCTATTGTTCCATATACGGTCGCTATTGTTCACTATACGTTCGCTACATGACTAGGCATTCACACTGTGTCTGATGATGAGATGCTCAGAGCTACATTCACAATATGTATACTACTAGTTACAGACGGTGTCTACAACTAATTTGACTTCGAAAAATTTCACCTCTGATGTGACACTAACCAGCAAATCATATAGTAATATTGTATTGTACTTCAGGCGTTCCCTGCAACACGGGCAATGAGTGTGCATGACGTCCTTGATACTTTCCAGCAGTGATCTACCCTCTGAAGCATGCTGTGCACACTGCTCAACAAATACAGTGTGCTCCCCCTTGCTCAGGGCGCAACGAAGTGCTTCATCGTATGCCTCATTCCACATTTCTTCAGACACCCACTCCTTTCGCCACTGCCCGACGAGGATCTCAAGCGTTTGCAGTGACGGAGAGTCACATGCACACGATAAATTGTTGTCCATCGTGAGGATAGATTCGTCAGGATCGAATGAACGATCGTATTCTTCATCAATCGCTTGCAGCGAGGGAGAGTTGCGAGGAGAAGGCAGGTTGGTGTCTGCGAAATAAGGTAGATCGTCATCACACTCGGAATTGTTACGGTCCAAGGTGAGCATGGCTTCGGTGGCATCATACTGAGAATGATAGTCTTCATGGTCCGAGGCAGTGACAGGCGTGTCATGCGCGTCGCAAGGTAGAACCCTTTTTTTCCTGTGCAAAAGTCGGTTAGTGAGTCTAGCACACTCCTATAGTTAGGCATTCTCACCTTGCCCTATTCCTAAAATCAATTATATAGCGCACATAAGACTGAGGATAGGTATGAACTCACCGAGCAGCTCGAATGCGAGCCTTCTCGTTTCGAGTTTCTCGCACTCTGCAGTGAGGGCAGGTAAGCAGAATTCACCAGTGACTAAGGACGTTGAACTCACCCTGGCTTCACGAGCCAGCGCTCTGTGGCTATCCGCTGCTTCGACACGGGACTGCAGGATCTGCTCTTGCCTCGGCGAGCCTTGGAAAATATGTTAGATAGTCCAGCCTTTAACGTGAGTTTGAACTTACCATGTCGTCAAAAAAATGAAGGAAGGAGAGATGACCTGGGGTCATCCCTAGGTATATGGTCAAGATCATCAATAAAATGAGGGTTGATATCCAGGCAATATGGTTGACAACGCTGCGAGATCTGATTGAAAGGCACGGAGTAGGATTCTGTAGGATTGCCGCTTGTACAGTCATCTTGATTACTAATTCATCTAAATTAGGGAACCGTTGTAGACTGTTATAGGTCCAAGTATACTACCGCACTCAACAGTTCTGATTGCCTGCAAGCAAGATGGTAATCTTCCTGGTCCCTCCCCTCCATTCTCACCAGCCCCAGAGTACGTTGTATAAGTACATGTCAGTCCTTCAATGTCGCAGGAAGCCCAGGCCCTGGCACCTCAGTGAAACAGTCAAGTGGTGGAGCGCACAGCGCGTTCCATTTCAACCCAGGAGGCACCCACTGCCTCTACTTGGCATGCGGTGCGTTCCATTTCAACCAGGGAGGAGAATCCTACCTCCACCAAGCGCACAGCACATTCCATTTCAACCGAGGAGGATACCTCTGCCTCCACTGCCTGCATGGCATGTTCCATTTCAACCCAGAAGGCACCCACTGCCTCTACGTGGCGCGCGGCACATTCCATTTCAACTGGGAAGGTGAGTCTACATCTGCTATAGGACGATAGACCCTTCGGCTTATGGAAGGTCTGTCCGCATCCCACATAGGACGATAGACCCTTCGGCTCATGGAAGGTCTGTCCGCATCCTCCATAGGATGATAGACCCTTCATCTGTCCACATCCTCCATAGGACAGTAGACCCTTCGGCTCATGGAAGGTCTGTTTGCATCCTCCATAGGACGATAGATCCTTCGGCTTGTGGTAGGTCTGATCAGTACCGATCTGCACTGCCTCTGAGATGCACATGTGACCTTAACCGCGGTTTCAAATGAATATCAGCCTCAAGATCTTACACTGATTCCACTGGATCTTCTCCCCCAGAAACCGGCTGGCAATGATAGGATTTTTGCGACGCGACACGCGTTGTTTATTTGCCATGGAGTCCATCACATGTCAATGCGCACGTTTTTTGTTGGTTTAAACTTCGCGTCTACACTTACAGAGTTTCTGCTTACAGTTTCAAATATGAGCTACCTATATTCAGCTGATGATTTTGATGCCAACGGCAACTTTATCTCAACCGGCCGGTTTTTGGATCCACTAGCTAGAGGTGAAGATACGCCACCCGGTGAAGGTGGTAGACATATTCCCTTGATTAACAATATCGACTGGAACGATCCCTCGTTGTACACCATGCCGCTTACCCATGATGAAATTGCAGCTCTCACTCGCGACATAGCGGCCACAAACCACCCCCTTCCAGAGTTGCCTCCCCCCACACATGTTGCTGGTGCGAGCACCTCCTCTGCTTGCACGCCCTCACCTAAGCCCTCTGAAATCCATGATCAAGGCCTGGTAAGTCCCACCCAGTCAGAGGTGTCGGACACCAGTCGAGAGGTGCCAGAGTTACTCCAACGTGAAGCAAACACGTCCACATGGGCAGCACGAAACCCAACGTGAGCCACCATCCGTCCTCGGACGCCGCCCCCTTGACTGAAAGATGCCCAGAAGGCGTCTCATAAGATCAAGAGGGACCAAACGACGGAGAAAAGGAAGTGCTTACATAACACTGTCGCTGAATACCTGGAGGAACAACGAGTGAAGATCGAAGCGCTCTCACGAGCTCATAGTGTGACTCCAAAGGTAATCAATGACATCATCGGGGGTCAGACACACTATCGCAATTCTCGCAAGATGCAGGTGAAAAATGCGCTTGTTCACGCTAAGTCAAAGGAGATGAACGCAGGTACGTAAAATACATTTGTTTGATGGTACCGCAAAGCTTATATCATGTCAATTAGACCTACCTGTAGGGTCTCGATATTCGTTGGCGGAGCTCCGCGAAATGGTCGCAAGTGACCCCAAGATGAAAGACTTGACGAGGGAACAAGAGGCCGCCTACATTTCAGCACTCGACGAGCATCGTGAAAAAAAGTCGGTTGGTGTTCGGTCGAACAATATAGCAGCTGCGCGTGATGTTGTAGCTACGACGGATAGGATTGTCAAAGAGGTGAGTTTGCCCGAACCTGGACTACAATGAATGAAACTCATACTTTACTCTTTCAAAGCTGGACGACCTGCGAGTTCGGACTGGCGTCTATGCAACGTTATTTGTCATTCGCGGTCACATTAACGACACAGTTCAAAGTGCGATGCATGGGACTGATAACTCAGAAGACTTCTGGGAGGACGTATACGAGCATCCTATGGCTGATTTCCTCAGGCAATATGAGCAATGGGCGTGCACCCAGAATCAAAGTGCGCATTTCACATTTTTGTATACTACCAGCCTATTCAATATCCTACAGATCTTAACGAACGGGACTCTTTGGAAATGGTATGGAAGCAGGTACGTAAAATGATCATCCGTGGTCTTGGTGAGTGAGATCTTGTTTTGTACGTGCTGTCCTTGATTGACGTCGTTTGTAGTTGAGGTGACTGGAAAAAAAGATATCGGCATGAATTACCATAACTATGAAACAGCCATCGTCGAGACATATGGTGTACGCCTGGTGGGGTGGCCCCACGGTGTTAATTTCATTAGCCCCTCGAACATCAGGACTGTGGGCGACATTCGCAAGCTGCGAGATGCACTGAAGGCGCGAACGTGCTACTGGACTGTTCTCTCACCGGCGGAAATCAAAGCTCACACTGCCGAACTCGAAGCGCGCTGTTCAGCTGGAGATGTTGTTCACAAGCCGCGAAAAAAGCGTTCGGACGCTGGGGTACCTCGGAAACGTAAAGCTGCAACTAGCACAGGTCCTAGTAAGGAGAACCAACGGATGTTGAAAAGAGCAAAAAGGAATTCTGCCCAGCTTCCTCGAGGTCCAAAAAGTGCTGAGTTTGTCCAGTCGTCTGATGAAGGGGGTGACGACGACTAGTAGTAGTTTGTATTACCTTAGTCTAGTCTACAGACCAATACAACTCAGTCGCGCATCTTAGTCATTGCCTGTGCACGGGCCGTCAAAACCCGTCGTCAATACGTTCATCTGGGCGCGAGATATCTGTCACGAGTTCCAAATACAAACCATTATTCGTTCCTAAATTCTAAGTCCTTTAAACGCCCAGTCACAGCGCCTGTTCCTAAGAATGTATTTACTGTTGAAGAAGTTCCTATTATTGCGTCTATTGTAGAATTACCAGAGTCACGTGATCTATCGGACAATGCCGAAGACATTGACGTCATGCCTCGCGACACTCTTGGAATGTTCCAGAGTCTTACTGCGGCTGCGGCACATGTTATGACATCATAGTTATATATAGAATCGTACGATACCTTTAATTATTCTGATTGGTTAGTTAGTTCATACTCAGATTCAGTCTCAGTTTCAATATGTGTATATAGGTAGCTCGTCGTAGTCAGTAGTTCTTTAGTTCAAACCTCTTGTATCTCCAAGTGAGCAATCCAAGACGTACCTGCTGCCTTATCCTCTTTGTGACTATCTTGTTGTTTGAGTCCTAGTCTCTGCCCTGCGTTAATTCGTTTAAGGGGTTGTGACATTAGGTTTGAACTATAGGAGACTCCGACTCTCGCGTTACACTCTCGCATCTCTTTCTCTTTCGCCTGGTCGTGTTGGTAGCCACCACACCATCAACCGAAACAGAACCGTTATACTTTTGCCTGGCTTAACCGCCGCGATCCTTGTTTCATCCTTTTGCTCATTTGAGCGCATTTTCCTACCTATAATCTTTCTTAGTTAGTAGTCCTATACCAGGCCCTGTCTTACCGCAGCCGCCAGTATACGGAGGTGTTCACGACATTAGGCGTGTCACTGCAACTTTGAGTGCTGGCCCAAAACCCTGCCTGCTCAACGTTACTATAGTTTCATTTTACCTACTCCTTTCTTCATACGCACGTAGGCATTCGTTTCGAGTCAATAGCGGAACTGTCTAGACGACAAACCGTGCTTTCGACCTACGAGGATTTAGCGACATACCCTAGTGAGACTCGCACTTGTAAGCTTCGGCTGGAAGAGTGATAACTTGTCCTAGGCTTGTACCCTCAGAACGGAGATTGCATTGTCCCTAGTTTTTCCCACTCGATCGAGTATAGTTACATATCCTTTTTAGTTAGTATTAGGGAAGCATCGGTTGGGTTGATTAAAGAACCCTTCGATCCTGAAGTACGTGGTAGATCCGATCAGATATCGGGGGCCGCTTCAGTTTTCCATTACATAACTTTCTTCTTTTCACCATCATTCCCTTCCGGAAGAGCCCTTACGAGCAGCTCTTCAACAGACATCAGTGAATCGGGTTCCAGAACACAACTGGCACTATGTCTGAATTACCAAACTCTCCTACACAGTCTGCACCGACAGTGGTGTTACCATCCACTCCACAGGAGGTTGTCGAGTACATTCACATGTCACTTGCAAACCAAGCGGAAAGCTTCAGGGTCAGAATCACAGAACTAGAAGCCAAGAATGCGGCTCTAGAAGAAGCAAACAGACTCCTGGGCGTACGCCTAGAAATGCAAGAAGACGAGACTGTGAAAATACAGTCTCAACAACCATCCTTCGGCTCTGCAGGAGCTAGTCTACTTTCATCGAATCATTCCCCCTCCATCAAATACTCCAAACCCCAAGACTTCACTGGAGAAAAAGACTCCATAGAACTCATGGTCTGGATATCCCAAGTAGCGCTATACACTGCGCAATGGCCCAACATCCAAGAAGGCCAAAGAATTGGAGTAATGCTCTCCTTCATGAAAGGTACTGCAGCCAAATGGGCGCAACCTTACATCACCAAACTTGGAAAGACCGGAGATGAGAAGTTGACCGTGGAGAAATTCCTGGAAGACTTAGAAGCCATGTGGGGGCAAGAAGATCGTGAAGGAAAAGCGATCCGAGAACTGGAATCCCTTAGACAAGGATCTTCCTCAGTTCCAGAGTACGCAGCCGCTTTCAGACAAAAGGCTGCACACACTTCATTTTCCGATTATGACCAGAGACAGAAGTTCAGACTGGGACTTCAAGATCGCGTCAAAATACAGCTCGCTCATGTCCGTTACGAGGACAAAAACACCATGAAGAAACTGGTGGAACATGCGATCCAAATCGGACGCAACTTCGAGGAGCTAGACACGGACAAGAAGAAGACGACCTGGTGGACCCCTAAACAAGGCCCCAGGACCCCTGAATACAAACCTGGTCCAAGCAGGGAAAGCGACGCTATGGACGTCGACGCCAACAAGCAGCGAGGTGCTCCAAAACCTCAAGGAAGGACTGGATCCTTCAAATGCTACCGCTGTGGAGGCGAAGGCCATATGGCTAGAAACTGCAAAGACGCAGTCGCACCAAAGGTGCAGGTGAAGGCTACTACAGTGCCAAAAGAAGAAGACCCTATTCCGAGTTGGTTCAAAGCTTGGGTCAGCTCCAAGGAAGGCAAGGGTTTTTAGAGGGGTCAAAGTCAAAGTCTGCGAACTTAGACCCGAACAATTGTTTCTCCATCCTATCTACGTTCTCGGATGTATCAGAAGTATATATTAGATCCAAATCTGAACATTTTTACATTCCGATCATGTTGAAGGGAAAGAACCGACAAGCAGATGTGAAAGCACTGGTAGATTGCGGTGCATCGACATTATTTATTAGCGAGAAGTTTGTGAAAAAGAACGAAGTCCGGTGCCATAAATTATTAAGGCCCATTCCGGTTAAAAATATCGATGGCTCGTTAAATGCCGCTGGATCAATGACTCATTACGCTGAATTAGGTCTAAAGATCGGTGACCATGTTGAGGATCAAGCAGCCTTCATGGTTACGGACTTAGGAAGCGATGATGTTATTATTGGCATAGATTGGCTAAGATATCACAACCCAGAAATAGATTGGAACGCTGGACGTTTTGCACTTTCTCGTTGCCCGGTTAAATGTATTACTAAAAAAGAACAAAGACAAAAAAATAAAGAAAAAAGAAAAGAACAAAAAAAGATAGAAGAAGTGCCAGATCTGATTCCCACAGAAGAGGATGACGAAGAAGACATGGCGATGAAGAGGGCGACAGTTGAGGAAATAGAAGATGAAGAGTATCCTGGAGAATGGATCAAGTATAAAGCCTCGGTTGCCACGGAGCAGAAGGTTGCAGAAGAAGCAACGAAGGTGAAGAAATCGGTTGAAGAGATGGTTCCCGATTGGCTTCACGAGTACCTGGGAGTTTTCTCAGAAGAAGAATCTAAGCGCTTCCCTGAAAGAAAGAAATGGGATCATGCGATAGATCTTAAAGATGATGGCGATCTTCCGCCGAATGCGAAACCCTACCCCTTATCACCCAAGGAGATGGACACTTTGAAAGATTGGTTAAAAGCCGAGACTGCACTGGGACGTATAAGAAATTCACAATCTCCAGTGGCAGCACCTTTCTTCTTTGTGGCCAAAAAGGATGGCAAGTTAAGACCGGTGATGGACTATAGAAAGCTCAATGAGAAGACGGTTAAAAATGCATATCCGCTACCGAGATCTCAAGATTTGATTGATGCTTTAACCGGTGCCACGATGTACTCCAAGATGGATGTAAGATGGGGATACAATAATATTCGCATGAAAGAAGGAGATGAGTGGAAGGCGGCCTTCAAAACGCCGTTTGGTCACCATGAACCAACCGTGATGTACTTCGGTTTAACAAACTCCCCTGCCACGTTTCAAACCATGATGAACGAGATATTCAGAGATTTAATTGATGGAAAGACTGTAGTTGTCTATATCGATGATATCCTCGTGTTCACAAATGGCAATAGGGAGCAACACCGAAAAGTTGTACGAGAGGTACTAAAACGACTAAAAGAGAACGATCTGTATCTGAAGCCTGAAAAGTGTAGCTTCGAACAGACAGAAGTCGAGTTCCTCGGGTTGATAGTGGAGAAGGGTGGTGTTCGAATGGACCCTGTGAAAGTAGAAGGAGTAATGAAATGGCCTGTACCCAAATGCGTTAAAGATATACAAGCATTTATGGGCTTCGCCAACTTCTACAGAAGATTTATCTTCGGGTTCTCAGACATCGCTAGACCAATGAATGATTTACTACGGAAAGATGTCAAATGGGATTGGACGGAGAAACAGCAAGATGCTTTTGATGAACTGAAGTCAAGGTTTACATCAGCTCCGATCCTAGTAATGCCTGACGTTGAGAAGAAAATGAAAATAGAAACCGATGCTTCTGATTACGCAACTGGAGCGGTTCTATCTCAACTGATGGAAGATGACCTATGGCACCCCGTGGCGTATTACTCTAAGTCAATGAACGATGCAGAAAGAAATTATGACATCCATGACAAAGAGTTACTCGCAATCATTCGAGCGTTAGAAGAGTGGAGGCACTATGTGCAGGGAAAACCTCATCATGTGGAGATCTGGACGGATCATAAGAATCTCGAGTACTTTATGACGAGCCAAAAGTTGACAAGAAGGCAAGCCAGATGGAGTCTGTTCCTGGCAGAGTATGAATTTACGCTCCAACATAAGCCTGGTGTAGTCAACGATAAGGCCGATAAGCTTTCTCGGAGAGAAGACCACAGAGGGGGGGTAGAAAACGACAATTCTGATCGTATTTTGTTAAAACCGGAGTTTTTTACTGTAAAAGCTGCTAAAAGAGGTCAAGTTCTAGTGCAAGGAGAAAAACAATTGCTGAGAAAGATAAGGCAATGCACAGAACGAGAACCCGAAGTCGCTAAAGCGCTACAAACGCTAAAAGCAGCACCGGTACAATTGCGTAGAGGAGTTGAAGAATGGAATGTGGAGGATGGATTGGTGTTATTCCGAGGACTGGTTTACGTTCCAAACGATAAAGAGATCCGCCGAGAGATATTGGAGTTGTTTCACGACTCTCCACCGGCTGGACATCCTGGACGTGCCAAAACCTTAGAATTGATTTCCAGAAATTATTGGT